TTGACTCTTACCTTCTTCCCGTTTGATTGTGGGTTGCCTTTGATTTGAAGTCTTAACATTAGCTCAGCATTTGTTACCTCCTTCTGCTTCCGCTTTGCCACAACAATTTGCGCTAACGATGTCCGTGAGCAATGAAAGAAAAATGTTTTCCCTCACACGTGTCTGCAGTGATCCATAACGTTTGGTTATGTTTGACTTTCGGTTCGGACTTATATTTCACTCAAATGTCGCTGCAGGCTTTTCATTCTGGATTCCTTTTTACTCCTTGTGATTTATACATTTGAGCTGGGGCTTTTTCCTATTGAATTATGAACCAACCGGTTGGTTATACTACATGTTAAGGCCAATGAAAGTTGTCCGGATGTGAGCTGTAGTAAAATCAGTTTGACATAATCATTGCAACTGCAGGCAGGAGTTCCTTGACTCTGTTCCTCTGAGCGACTCCTGTCAATTACCCTCGGATGACAGCATTCTCCTTCTGACTCTCAGCCTGCCTATGCTTGTTATTGCCCCATCCACCATTGCTTCGGGGAAAAACAGCAACCCCTTTTTTGTATTTATTTTCCTTTTTTGGGGGGGAAGGGAAAGCCTGTCTAACTGTCTCTGTTGATTGTGTGTTATTTTAGTTTGCTGCTGTTGCGGGCGATGTCTGTCTTGTTATTGGATTTAACGAAGTGCACTGCATAACGCGCATACGCCATGTGAGCCCATTCCCAGGCAATATTATTGTAAAGTCATGCAATTCACTTTTTTTTAAAGAGTGTAAGCTAGTCGCATTTAAAAGAGTTGAAGGAGATATTTTGATGTTAACTATACGAAAATAAATTCTCATTGATTTAAAGCTAAAAATATATATGCTACGATGTATATTAAACGTATTTCCAGATACCAATTTCAAGAATGAAACAATCTAGAATCAAGCCCGCAGGTATCTCTCTCTACTCAACGCCTGCAGAGTTGCCTTTAACAACCACACATCACGCATACGCCCAGTTATCCATTTTTAGGACGTTCGCCGTCTGCTTTCAGCTGGCTGCTCTTCACAGCTTGATGCATTCCCCGTGCGGTTTGGTTTGGTTTTTCTTTCTGCGAATGCGACTCAAAGTTGCTGCTGCCGGCTGCTGCTAGATACTATACACAGATACATCCAACTGTGCCGCACCACTGAAATGTCTGCTATTCAGGGAGAACTCGTCATCATCTCCTCCATCATTGGGGTCCCTCCACCGAATGAAGAGGGAAAACATTGTCACGTGGTTTTTGTATTTAGTTGTGCCCTCCTGCTGCTTTTACCTGCCGCCGCAGCAGCTCTGGCAGCTTTTTCTTTGCGGTGACTGCAACCACTCCTCCAACTTCCCATTCACAGTCACACTCACACTAGCACTAACACTTACATTCACATTCACACTAGTGCAATAAATTCGCCCGCCCGAGTAACGGCTTGTGTGTGTCATTGTGGAGAGGCTTTCCATTGTGGCAGAAGCACACAGCACACACAGATAGACAAGTCGCCTCGGTTTGACTGTGTGGGTGTAGTTATCCTGCATTGTTTGCTGTGTTGTGTTGCCTCGCTGTCTTTGTTGTGCAGGGAAATTGAAATAAATGTATGTGTAAATGCGTCAAAATTAAGTTTATTTCTTTTTCGCTGTTGCTTTTTAAATGTCTTTGCCAGTGACAAGTGTCAATTAGAAAAAAGTTCAATTACATTAAGCCGAGAAAGGAGCCAGCAGTGGAGGCTACAACAAGTAGCAGCATTGTTATAGTCACTGCCATGAAGGAATATCCAGAGAGAGAGTCATTGTCAGTGTCGTTGTTTGTGTTGTTTGTTGTGTCGTTTGTGCTTTTGTGCCGGAGACAAAGCCGCCCAAGAGATGTATGTATGCGAGTGTGCGGTTGTAATTGGGATAACTCGGGCGTAGTTTTGAGCACATAATGAACGCAAACAACTTGGATACGAAACTACATGCCTGAAATATTCGACCATGCTTACAAAAATATTCTAAGGTTTGTAAAACAAAAATATGTGAAATGCTTTCCTAAGATAACAAAGATGGTTGCATTTAATTAAAATATGTATAGCATTGGTAAATGAAAAAATTGGTTAGAGTTTTAAAAATAAGTAAGCCAAAGCAATAGACCGAAAAATATATGTTTAAAAAGGAATCATGAGTGAAACAATATGAATATATTGAGTACCTCAAGCAAACCTAATTAGTTTTAATCTCACTCTCTGAATGGCCTATTCTAATCTCTTCAACAGCAATTCTGTCCTGTCCACATGAAATTTTACCCACCACAGCCATTGACAAGGCCCATTAACTGAACAGTTTTGCAAATGTTTAGCTGCACAACTAATTTGGCCCATTTAACCCCCCAAAATCCTAATCAAATGTGCTTTAAACTTTGACATTGCTCGGTGACGACACACGTCGTGTCATGACCAATCTGCTAATGAAATAAAATATTAATTAAGAAACTCCAGACAGCAGACACTGTCTGATATGGGGATAGTATATACATACGAGTGGCGAGCCAGGCTAGAATATCGTTTCATCAGTGGACACTTGGAGCTGTCGTTTGGGTAATTGTAATGTTTGGCATGCAATTAAGCAAATGATGAATGAATCATTCAGTACGGGCGAGATGCGGCTGGATGCCAGACACAGACCCAGACAAGTTGTCCCAGTGCCAACTTGAGTCGTCCAAGTGCCGCAACATGGCGTATGCGCAATAATTTAGCGTATAACAAACAATTCTCTGGAAGAAGCGACATGTCCAGGCCGCAGACAGCGGACACTCTCCAACGTTTATAATTTGATCATTATTTATATTTAAATAGGTCCTTCCCCTCCCACGCACCAAAAACACATCTGTTCGCTGCTTTTTCAGTGCGGACCGTTTGCTTTGTTGTTTGCTGGCCTGGCTAACAACAAATTGAAGGGAAATGATTCCATTTCATGCTAGATTAAACATGTGTCCACATAATTTATCGATTATTTATCATGTGGTCTGCTACGGGTGTGCTCCGTGTGGCCAAAGTGAAGTGAAGCCGTAGGCCCCAGGCCACCATCATGTCCCTGCGACTATGGGAGGAACTTTGTGTGTGTTAAGCTGAGGTAGTGTGCTTCCCTTCCCCTGCCCCTTGTGTAGGCCTTTTGCGGCCACATTGCGCACACAAGTGCAAAATTAGAAACAAAAGCTGTGCCAAAGGCGTTTACCCTCTGCAGGAGCAAGTGAAGTTCGATGTCGATGTCAGAAGTACGTTGCCATGCCTTTGCCATTCGAGCCACTTGTCGCTCCAATCCGCCCAAATACCCTAGGGATATGCTGGAGTATGATGGCCATAGAAGTCACTGGCAACTCGTTTCCCTCAGCCCTTTATATAGGGATATGTGACATATCTAATATATACCAGAAATTGGGTCAATGCATCCATGACAATAATGTTTGTTTTAAGGAGAGGACCCTAAGGAGCACCTGTCTGAACTCAGTTTGATTGTGCAGCAGCCGAATTTGGGTTAGAAAACCAGAGTGTTCTCTATACTATTTAATCCTTATATGAGAGCTTTATAAGCCCACCGGCCTATTGTTTATAGATTTTATTTTGTTGTGAGTTATAGCTCATTAATACTCTGTTAATATCCAAGAGTGGAGTTTCTCTTTACAATGTACCCATCTTGTTGATTATTTTGCTGCCTTATTTGCAAGGATAATTGAGAAATGGTTGATTACTCGCCAGGGTAATTGAATCTTCGTTCACTACAGCAACAATTTTTTCACTTTTATCCCCGTTTGATTTTTTTCCCATGCACTTTTTACGCGCCAGACGCATTTGCCATTGCGTTTTTACCGCATAAACACACTCGTACTCACACACACACATGGTAGGAGGCTCGTGGACAGCACAACAGGAAAATGGCGGCCATTTTGTAATCCGCATGTGGCTGGGTAATCACCCCTAAGCTCCGCTTTTCCACTATCCCCTAGCCGCAATCTCCCTTCTCACACGTGCGGCGGCTTTTCCCGGGTTTGCCGTAATGTTTTTTTTTTCTGTGTGCTTTGTTTTGCGGCATTATGTGGTCGCTTGTCGCTGCATTTCCCGGCTATATCTAGTTTTCCCATCGCCCTTGCCCAGTATCTCCATCGCCGCATGAATGTTGTGATTTTGTTTGGCGATTTTTGGCTATTTTTGGTTTTCATTTTCCACAGATCGATCGATATTTTAAAGCTTAGCCAAATAGTGCGAATACAGTGAGATTTGATCAGATTTTGAGGTAATTAAAAAGGGGAGTAGATGGAAAAATACCTAAGAGCCACACCTTGCTAACTATAGAATAAAATATATACGATTTAAATAATAAAATGTCATTAATGATATAAATAATAATCTGAGATTGTTAAGGGGTTACATTTGATAATTTTGAAAAGTTCTGTAATAAGTAATTCCCTTAAGGAATTTTAAATTGTGTCCATATTACTGTGAGATATGAGTGAGGGGTCAAGGCTTAACAATATACATATACGATTGCCTTCATATTTCTCATATTTATCGAATACAAAATAATTCCTTTCAATTAACCTAATATACATTTATATTCACACAAATATCTTTTGGGTAATTAGAAAATTGGCTGTGCATTCTCCTCTCGACAGGCTGGCCAAAATGAATCACTTAATAAATTCTTTGAATCGCTGCCAGAAAATATGAAATATTTTCCTAGTTTGGCACAAACAACTTTATCGAAATGAGTGCAACTTCATAATGCTTCTTTTGCTCCTGCCACGCATGAGTGTGCTAGCTCTGCTATGCAATTGTTGAACACTTTTTGACAAATCGTTGCCGCAGCCACTTGAAAATCAATTTGCCAACTCAATTGACTTTCATTCTTGGCTAAAAGATTTTGCCAGCTCAGTGGATAACTTAAAAATATAAAACTTGCAAACTTGCCTCAACTTCCACTCCATTCTTATGTTATTTTGCTTTCAATTTCTCCTTTTAGATGGCGAAATCCTGCGCGTGCTGGTGAACAGCTCGGCCGAAATCAAATGCGATGTGGGCTCCAGCCTGCCCGACGACAAAGTCCTGCTGGTCGTTTGGTACAAGAATAATTTACCCATTTACAGGTAGGTCAATCTGCGCCCTACGAGCGCGTGTATCCGCCTCCGCGTCCACGTCCGTATCTGTATCTGTATCTCAATCCCTTTGACAGCTACGACACACGTGGCGCCCATGCTGGGACCCCGTCGCACTGGCGGGACGAGGAGGTCCTCGAGGATCGGGCCATCTTCCGGACGCACAAGGAGCCGGCGGAATTGCTTATAAATCCGGTTAAGGTAACGTCCATCCCCAACCCCATTCGCATTCCCATCTGCATCGGAATCGCGAGTGTCAACATCGCAGCGCTTTATAATTGGAATTTCATTTCATTTTCAGGAAAAGGATGCGGGCAACTTTCGCTGTCGCGTGGACTTTAAGCTATCGCAGACCCGCAACAGCAATGTAAATTTGGAAGTTGTTGGTGCGTATACCCAGAACTGACTGATGTCAGGGATTCAATCAATTTCGTGTGCCACTTACTGGCATAAATATTTTACAAAATTGCGAGCAATATCCTAATTAATTTGGAATAGTAAACACTTGATTTTATAAATCAACAACAAAGTATACTTGCCTAAAAAGTAATTTAGCAAAATGTGATATTTTTCAATAATCTACGTAAGGGTTACTAGGTACAGAACGTATTAAATTATAATTTTTACATATAGAAAGGACTGAAGTTAATAGAGAAATTTAATTAGTAATACAAGTGGCTTTTAAATATAGTTAGTTAGTTATTATGTATTTTTGGAGATTGAAAGCCCGCAAAGCCCAACCCATTCCAAACTGTATTAAAGTCTGTTGCGTTTCTGTTTGTTCTGCTAAAATCTCAATTAAAACTTTCCACTTCAACCAGTTTGAAAAACGGAGAGAAAAAGCAATATTTTTGTTCATTGTACACAAATATGTAGGAATAAAATCAACATTCGCATAAATAAATAAATATGCCCAGCCAGAAACGATTATAAAAGCAATTAATATTTGTTTCGCTCGCACAAACAGGGGGAGAGAGAGAGTCAAACATAAATTAGCTGAAATGATTTCTCGGTTAGCCGCAAAACTTACAATTTATTATTCGAGGGATATGCATGAATATGCGTAATATAAATATATACCTTTTACATTGCTTTTGACAATGCCAAATTGTTTCTGATTTGCTGCTGTCGAAAGAGCTGTCAGGACATAACCGGAATTGAACAGATTACATAATTTAATAAATTCCATTTTCTTTGTTTTTTTTACTTCACAGTGCCCCCAATGCAGCCGAATATCTTCAACGAACGACGACTGCGAATCGATTCCAGAGCGGGTCCCTATGAAGAGGGTGGCAGCCTGGAAGTCACCTGCGTTGTCTATGGCGGTAAGTCACGGAAATGCTAATCAAAAAGTTACCGAATTCGATGCGAGGCAGTGGACTTCCACTGAAATAAAATATTAATTGTGCCCTCTATAAAATGCAATCAATAATTAAACTTTACAAGTGGCTGTATAATCATAAAAGTATCCGGCACGAACACAATCACAAAATTAAAAATGCGCTATCGAGGGGACAGAGAGAGAGAGGAAGTAACTAGGCTTTGTTGGCATGCAAACAAAGGGGCCAGAGTATAAACAACAAACAATAATTAAGGTGGAGAACTTTAATGTAAAGTTCAATTCCAAAGAAAGCGAAACACAAGCAAATTGTGAGGGAAAAAGGATGAAGGAATGGAGCCAAGTTAATTTCGAAAATGTGTCGCCTTAACAAAAGGATTAAAAAACAGCTCAAGAGCAAGGAGAAGTCAAGTAGCAACTAAAGAGGAAGGCCAGAAAATCCGGGAGCAGTCAGCAGGATTTGTTATCGATGATTCCCAGGGCGAAAAGTTAACACTGGGTACACAGAAATAAATTTTGGTATTGAAGTAAATTCAAATATTTTATTTATTGCTTCAGAAACTATCATAAGTATTGTATGTTAGCAGCATTCATGGTGAAAAGAGAAACATAGTTATAGCTTTTATTTTGGGTTGGGTTATTCTACTGAGGAATAAGGAATATAAAATCTAGTAATATATATACAGCTTCCTTCAGTGTAAACTTCTCCCTCCCATTTATCTCTGTGCACACACAACCCTTAAGTCAATTGTTGTTAATGAAAACCAATATAAGAATTGTTTGTACGAAATAAAGTTGCCGCGAAAGGCGAGACTGCAAGCGGACTGAGAGGACAATTGCGAATTGTGAGTGGAAATGGCTCGTATTTTCCTCTCAAAAGTCGTCACAGTGTCGGACATAAGTATGTCGACTGGTGGCGTTCGCAGTGGCATTCCCATTCGCTTTCCCTGTCGCGTGCTTTATCGCTGTGGAGTCCCCTTTTGTTTCTGGGTCTGGGCGGAAGCGAAACCACTTTGAATGGTTTGACATGTCAACGTTGACATAAAATAAATCACCAAGCCAGCAAACTGCACTTGAAACTGCTTCGGCAACTGTTAACTGGTCAGTAGTTTTCCGGGAGGAGAGAGCGCAGTGAGGAGAGTGGAGGAAAAAAAAGAAGAAAATCACCAGAATTGGGCACTCAAAATGTTGTATGTGCCAATTAAATGGGGGCAAGGAAAATGTTGCCAATGTACAAATGTGAATACATACGAGGGGGAGGTGGTTGTGACCAAGTTGTTGACAAGGGAAAAAGGAAGTCAGTTGATGTTGGCAAATGAGCGGGGCGGCGGAGGCAAGCAATTGGAGTAGTTGAAACTTGTCCAAAACGAGGGGGAGAAAGTGAATTGGGTTTACGTACGACTCTGTGTGTATATGTGTGTTTTTTGGTCAGGCTCGTTGACAGTTGAAAGGAACAAATTGATCCTAGTTGTAAGGAAAATTGCTACACTTGGGAAAATGGATAAAATAATCGTTCAATTAAGGAATAAATTTCAGAAATGGTTAAATACAAAATGTTTAGTTTCTATGAAATTATGGATAATTTTTATTTTGAGCATTTTAAAGGAGACGTTAATTTTGTATCCTGTCCCTAAAAATTAGGTTCTTCTTCAATATATTTATATATATATTTAAGAAATCGTTCTTTAAACCATTTAGAATTTATATATATGTATATTTATTTCTAAATGACCATAACTTTTGTCTTTCAAATGGACAGTACCTTTTGCAAACCACTGAACATCTCTGTGATGTTGCCATGCCGTGGTAATGGTGTGAAATTGAAAATGGTAGCCTGTGCTGCTTTTTCTGCCCTGCTGAAATCTTAAACAGCGGGCGGAAATAAATAGCAAGCAAATGCTGACATTATGCTCAGCCCGGCACCATCTCCGTCTCAGTCTGCGACTCCATGGCCATTTCCATTTCCATTCTTAGCTGCTTTTGGCTGGGGCTCTGGTGTGGTCAGGTCTTTGGCATTCAACATGCAATGTCCATTACAGAAATTGCAATTCTGTGGCAAAAACAAAAAGCCAGGAGGGAGGAGGCGAGTCTAAGAGCATAAAGTGCTGAAAAAGTTGCCACTTAAACAAGTGCAATCAGCAGAAGTAAGTCAAAAGCGGCAGCTGCGATGAGGAAGGAGTGCACCGCTCCGAGTTGCAGATGAAGATGGCCGAAATATATAGGGAATGAGGCGGAGTAGCTGCCTGTTTCGGCTTAAGAGTGTGCGAAATCGACAAAGGGGCAGTAAATTTTATTGCAACCTAGGAGGAGGCCCACAATTGCAAATGAGCGCGACACGCCAGCCCCGAAAAATGCCGGCGAAACGGGGAGCGAAATGAAGTTATAAACCAGCACAGCACAGTCTGTGTGGGTAGTAAAAATTACCAATCTACTTCCAGTTTCCCCTTCTTCAAGCTTCCCCAAGTCCACCAAATCATAAAGAATATATACATTGGAACTGGGGGGCAGCCATTGTGCGCTGGCATTTGCCGAGCATTGGGGAAAATCGGTGGGAAAACTCTGGGTTTATGTGGCCACTAATGCATAATATTCAACGTTGCCTTCTTTGGCACGCCATGAATTTTACACACGGTGGTTTCTGTCCCCATTTTCCTTCTACTCCTCCTGACTTCAGTTTTCCCCCCGCTTCCAAGCCTCCAGAAACTCTCAGGAGCATATAGTAAAACAGGGGGGATTTCAACTGAATACTGATAAACAGTTCAATACCCTGTTTTGTTTTATTTTCTTTTCAAAAGTCTGCTCTAGGTTTTTAAATGAGTTAAATATATTAGTCTTCTTTGTGGACTTAACTTTATTTCTGTAAATATGAAATAGTAATAGGATACTCCTTCTCATTAAACTATTCCATACAACCCTTAATACCTTGAAAGTACCCAGCATGGGAAAAGTGTGCCAGAAATGGCTTTCTACCCTTCGCATTTTCTTCTTTTTTTTCTCTCGGTGTGTCAAACGGAAGTGCAGGCGTTTTCCGCTTTTGCCAAAGTGAGCGTTGCCCATATTGTTATTGTGTTTACCATTGTTGTTGCTCTAGGCAGGTTGCCCGCTACAAAATAGTGTGCATTTTTATAAAAATTTTCTTTTCTCTTTTTTTTTGTTATTATTATTACTATTACTATTACTATTACTGCCACACTGGCTGGTTGTGTTCTTGTGGCACATTTCGGAGCACGGAAGTGCAGCAATACAGGCCATGCAACAACACAAGTTATTTACCAAACAGGGCGAAAATAGAAACAGCAGAAGGTTGGAAAAAGTCGAAGGAGATGAAGAAGTCCTACCAGGCAACTTGACATTATTTTGTAATAAGTTAATATTAAAGTAAAGCTTTAATTTTCAGCTGTTTTTTAAAACTTTAAATGGACGTTAATTTGTTTGGGATTTAAGAGATGATATATTTATTAATGGGTTAAAATTTCTATCTAGTTTGTTTTGTACTTCATTTTAAAATTTGTTCTGCCTGAAACTAATTTCTTGTTTGACTTATTAACAATCTTGTGAACAAAAACAGGGTGCAATTGTATTTGGTTATACTTTAAACAGGGACCCTTAAAGTCAGAAAAGCTTTAAATTTATTTTACAGCTTCCTCGCTGGACAAAAGGTCAAATGGCAACGAGGAAACGGGGGCAGAGAGATACACAGAATGCGAACTGAATAAACAGAAAGTGTAGGAAAGACAACAACATAAAATATATTTATGTGGCATGGCAGAGTTTCCTCCTTTTACTTTTTCTGCTCCTACTGTTTTTTTTTTTTTTTTTTTCTGTTTTATTTTTGTGTTACTATCAAGAGTCCTAAATTTTTGTTGTTGGTGCTTCTATTTCTTGAGTGCTTTGTTTGCAAAGACCCTGCCCCACCATCCTGGCATCCGGGAGTGTATCTGTTTCACCCGAGACAAATCCAAAGCAGATGCAGCAGGAGATGCAAAAGATATGCAAAACTAAACAAGCAAATATTTCAGCATTGCATAACTGAGGGGCTCCTTCCAACCCTTCATAGTGCTTCTCGTCGCATTCTGTGCACTCAGAGAAAATTAATATCAGTTTGGGTTTATGATAAAATATTACTATCTGAGGGGGTTATAAACGTTGCTTAAGGAAATGATAATTTTAGTACAAATATAAAAGCCAGTACAAAGGCTTTTATAAATATTATTGTATTATAATATTCAATCCTCATTTCATAAAGTTATGACAAGCACTCCTAACATATTGATATATTTATCAATTGTTATCCTCTAATAGTATGTATTCCAAAGAGTATAAATCAAAGTTGGTCATAGATTTTCCCCTGTGTAATGCTTAATAATGTGAGTAAACAGAACAATAGGCAACCAGAAAGAGAGACTCTCTCCCTCTGAGCCCTGGTAACGTGTGTGCAAAAGTGCATAAGTGAGTCGGACTTGGCAGGCAGCGGCTTTAAGTCTTCGCCGAAAGGAAACGCTAAAAACTGGCACGCATTTGAATGCTGGCTGCTCATTAGGAAGTGGGTGGTGGTGGATCCACCTGGCGAACGTGGACGTGGTGGGTGCCAGGTGGACATGGCAAAGAAATGCTAATGTCGCTTTTGCCTCATGCTGCTGCTGCTGCTGCTTTTCAGTTGCCTGGCACAAAAACCCGTTTTTTGATGCCTGCACTAAAAATGGCAAAGCACTTGGCAAAAAAGTGAAAAGAAATAAAAGAGAGAAGCCTGCTTTTGGGGGACGAAAGCCAAAATACTCTTGGAAAATGGATGGGTTCTATGGAATATGTTTTAAGCAATAGTTATGCAATGATATTTTAATGCACTTTATAAAAAAGTAAAACAAAACAAATTTACAATTTTAGGTCTTAAAATTAACACAACAACAGAAACAAAGAGAAAATATATTAAAATGAACTTAGCTTTTGGTTTGGGTTTCTTTACTCTTAAAGTAAATATAAAATATATAAACCGTGAGTATTTTTTATTTATACATTTTAAAAATTGTTTATGTATAGTAGTAGCTTCTTTATGGTCAACTCTTAAACTCATATTCTTGAGAGTGTATAAAAATGCATGTTAGAAGAAAGAAAAGTCGAGAGAGAAAAAAACTAGTACAAACTTTGAGTGCGTTTTGTGTATAGAGTAAAGGCAAGTCAGCTGTGTTTGTATGGCTGTGGCACCTTATGTTGACATTAAAAAACAGGCAGATACCACACAAGGTTTGGAAGGAAACCTAGCCAGTGGCTTTAAAGTGAAAACAAGAGTCTCTGTGAGAACTCCTTCTTTAAAACGACAGCCACAACTGCATTGCCAAATCAAACTTTTCGTTCCGCTTTTCTGTGGCTCTTTTCTTTCCTATTTCAGTCATTGTATTCCTGGGGGAGGAAGGCTAATAAATCACTGGGAACCATTAAGCCGCCTTGCTACACATGCGCTAATCTACTCTGGCACAAAACACACTCAAACACTAACCCACACAGAGACACTCAAACGTACACATGCACAAGAGTATGTGAAATATTTCATAAACAACATAAAACTCGACCAAATGGCAGTTATTAATCAAAGTAATGTGCGTTCACCTCTCCGCATATCCTGCTCCATGCATATATATGTGTATGAAAATCTATATATGTGTCCGTGTCACACATTTTTCAAACATATCAAGTGCAGTTTTCGGGCCATCCGTGGCTTAGTTTTAGTGAATTTCCAGGTGGATTTAATGGCACTTGTTCAGTCGCATTGCTTTTTATGGCTACTCATCAAGCATTTTGCGTAATAACTATGTAATAATAGAAAAATATACAAGCATATCGCTGAATTTATTTGTGTCAGCGTTTCACACTGGCAGAAAAAGTTGTGCAGACTTAAGAAATGAAAGTAGACTAAGAGAATATCAGGAGAGATGCCAAGAAGCACCCCTCTTACCAATGTGATCCATTATTTCTCAGTGTATTATTTGCCTTCCTTTTGAATGAGTGACCGACCACCCGTTGCTATTAAATTAATGTGCGCTCATATACGCACACAAAAGCTAATTTCAGCGCTTGATTAAGTTGAAGTCGTTAAAAGCGGCCAAGTGCCACACGCTGCGTATGAGTAATGTGGTTGTGCGTTCTGTGTGCCGGCTTAAGTGGACCACACTCCGCAGCGATTGCACCACAGCGGTGGCTAGTTAACAAGCTCCACACAGCTAACCAAATTAGGGGTTCCAAGGATAGACTATAACAGCCACTTTATTCCAGGTAATGGATAATTTTTGGTAATAACGAGTCAAGTCAATCTTACTTCGTTTGCCCTTTTATAAAATTATGAATGATTTGTATGACATTAAAATGATTTGTAGTACAAAATGCCAAGTTCTGGGTAATTCGGGAGAATTGAACTCGGTATGATGTTGATTTGTATTAAAACAACCAAAAGATCTAATGAATGTGGTTATATTTTAGATCCTCCTTAAAAACCTCTCCCTTTTCTACAATTTTTCAGGCTCTCCGCCACCAACTGTCACCTGGCTGATGAATGGGCAGCTGCAGAACAGCGTTGTCGATTACACCTACGACGGGACCATCAACAGCAAGCTGGTGGTTCGCAACCTGTCACGCATCCACCAGCATGCGGTCTACACCTGCCAGGCGAGCAACTTCCACAAGAAATATGTGGCCACCAACATAACCATTGAGCTATACCGTGAGTACTCTTTAAAAAAATATATATAAATATATACAAAATGAATACTACACAGTACATTGTGTAGAAAGAGTTGTTATTAATATTTACGCTTTACCAAAAAGCAAACTCAACTTTAAAGTCTACAGATAAATAAACTCTACAGAGTTCACATATGACCAGACTTAATATAATATGTTGTTTGTTTTTATTTGTCGATTTTTAATTAAAAAACTGTAAGCCTTAGTTTTATCTCAACTTTAGAAAGCCTTGTATATTTCGGTTTTCGGTTTCATTAAATGTCCTCCCTTTCTTTTTATAATAAATTGAAAATTTGTCTGCATTGAAGCGAGCTTAAACGACCCAAATATGGTGCTAAAAGCGTTTTGCCAAACAATTTATTTATTTATTGTATTTATTTCACTTTTTCTGATTCTGATTGTGCGGTCTTGCTTTTGTTGTTCGGTTTTAAGCGTTGCGATAAAAGTTTTAACAAATAGCTGCGCAGATAAAAACCATCCAGGCACCCGGCAACAAACAAAAAAAGAAAACCCCTGTAGAAGAGCCCAGGGAGGCTGGGTGGGCAAAAAATAGATAATAAAATGGCTTATGCAAATATAACAAAATGCAAAAGGCCCGAGCAGCAACATTGCATGCGATACCCGAACACGAAAAAAGTATACTATATAACCAGAAATTCCTGTGCGTAACTTATCCTACCTACCATGACCTGTGACCCGGCGCATATTGCACGACCCAACATGGTATCGAACTATTTTCCCCTTTGTGGACGTATGTATAGAAGTTGCGTTCAGGTTAGTGGAGTGTGCATGACCCCAATGGATTTATTATTTTGTGCAAATTTTTTAAATGCCCCTTTTTCAACACTCTGCACGGGAACGGGCACAGTCAGTGGCAATGCAAATTGTTAAATTGAATTAAATTTGTTGCCAATTTCATGTGTGCTTCGTTGCGAGTCTGAGTGGTTAAAAGATTTGTGCTTGGGCAAGCACTTTCCAGCAACTTTATTTGTCATGGCCCAAATGAAAATAGGAATTCAGTCAACTTTATTAGTTGCGGAATCAAATTTGAAAGAGTGAATGGAGGGCATTTCAAGTGTATTTCGAACTGTCAAATACTTTATATTTTATAAATAAACAAGAAAGAAAGCTAACTTCGGCACGCCGAAGTTTATATACCCTTGCAGATAGAACTTCTATGACTAGGAATCCATAGAATATAAATTATATATATTTGTGTTAAAAAACAATGAAGTAATACCTGCTTTCATTTCATTCTACAATACATATTATATTTGCAGTTTTACATTCACAGATTTGCATTTTTCCTCTACATTAAACGATCGTTTGTATGGCACCTATATGATATAGTCGTCCGATTTTCATGAAATTTTACACAAAATTTAAGACTAATATAAAATTGCTATACCTCAAATTTGATGAAAATCTGTTGAAAACCGAAAAAGTTATAATTTTTAATTGTTTTAATTTCTCGATCGTTCCTATGGGAGCTATATGATATAGTAGTCCGATTTTCATAAAATTTTATACAAAATTGTAGAGTATAGTAAAATGGCTATATCTCAAATTTGATCTAATTCTATTGAAAACTGAAAAAGTTAAAATTTTTTTTGTAAACATTTTCCGATCATTCCTATGGCAGCTATATGATATAGTCGTCCGATCCGGCCCGTTCCGACATATATACGAGTGAGAGTATATAGAAGGCTAACTACAAAGTTTCATTCAGATAGCTTCAAAACTGAGAGACTAGTTTGCGTAGAAACGGACAGACGGACAGACGGACAGACGGACAGAAGGACAGACGGACAGACGGACAGACGGACATGGCTAGATCGACTCGGCTGTTGATCCTGATCAAGAATATATATACTTTATATAGTCGGAGGTGCCTCCTTCACTGCGTTGCAAACTTCTGACTGAAATTATAATACCCTGCAAGGGTATAATAAATATGCACTGCTAACTCTAGGCTGAAATTTACTCTGAAAATAACAATTTTCATATGAAATCAGGTAGCAGAAATATCTTCAAGTTCAGACCACTTCACCTCTTCGTATTCTTGGCCTATTGCCGCATAATATTTGTGTTGTATACTTGGTTATTAGGCCCCTGGCATTGCGCTAAGAGCCAAAGATTGGCCATAGAATTTTATGGCACTTTGGCGCGTCTGTCATGGCTCTCAAAACGCCAAAGCAATTGGACGTCAATTCCTACTTAGGCTTCCAGTAACCGACAAAAAATAATGTAAAAATGTTCCACTGACAGCAGCTGGTGATGCGCATATTTGATATTATTGCCCCGAGTTCGGGACACAAGGAATATGTCGCACAGGCGAAGACATAAAAGTTAACACGCCAATAAGGAATGCCTTGGATGAGGCGGCGGAATGTCGCTAACTTGGTCAATTAATGTGGCCACAGTTTCGTAATATGTTTAGCAAATGACCTTGAAATGCAGAGCATGGGGTGGTGGTGGGTGGTCCTAACCAGGTTTCGCCACTCAGTGCTAACAGACTTTTGCGATGTTTTTTCTGTGTGTGTTTAAGTTCGCGTGTAATGACAGAACGGGCGACCGGGAAACAGGGCAGTTGAATAATAAGTACGACCTTAATTAGTTAATTTTATGGCCACTAACAATTAGATTACGCCCGGCACGACACCCACTCCCTCCTTAGCAACAACAATTATGAGTGTTCCTCATTAGCACACAATTTAAGTCCCCAAAAGGGCTGGCCAAAGCCGATGTGCAGCATTTAATTGAATTAAAATTTTCCCCATGCATCATTTGGTATGCAAGTCTGTCCGAATTTTCCTTGGGGGCTGTTTTCCTTTATTTAAATCTGAATTGCATTCGAGAGACAAGCTTTTAAAGGAAGAATTATTTATTTTCCTCAGATTTTGCCGAACAGAAATGTTTTGTTTTTCAAGCCTTAAACAATTTAATCGATCCGTTTGGCTTAATTGACCGCTGTTTGGGACGATTTTGGGGCCGTCCTTTGGGCCTGGTCTTCTATGCTCGCCTGAGCGGCGCGTTAAATTAAATATTTAAATGATTTTTCAATGCAAATGTGCATAATTAATTTAATTACAGTAAAGCGCTGCAGTAGAAGCAGCTGCAAGAACAACAACCGCATGAAACCTGTTCAGTGCCTATGAAAACAATAAAAAATGTGGAATAATATTGTAATATATGCAGGAGAAGAAGAACAACAACAGAAAAGCTGGCATTGATATAAATAAAATTGTAGATTGTTGCACTACACCTCGCTGCAATGCTTTTGCTTCCCTTTCCCTTTTGTATTATCGCATTTGGTTTTAACTGAAATGTCACGCCTTTAAATTAACGCACAAAATGCGCGGCCAACCGCAGCAAATGTAACAACAACTGAAAAAATAACAACGGTTAAGTCCTTTAATTTGCTGGAAATATTTAAATAAATATATTTTTAAAGGTATCATGTGAATTGATACCCTCTAATGGGTTTATTTGCAACCTTGAATAACAATTTAAAAACTCGATTATTTCAGTAATAATTTAAACAACCTGTCAAATATTATTCTATCTGAATTATTCGCAAAACACATGATATTTTTTAATATTTATAATCATTTTCCAATTGAAACCCAATGTGCGTAATTTATAATTTGCAATGAATTCAGCAAAGCGCAAAATAAAAATAGAGACGGGAAGCGCGGAAAAACAATCACAGTCCCGATAACGATGGGAAATTGTGTAATGCCGATAATGAACCCGGGACTCGAAGCGTTACGTGACCATGTTTGGGTGGAGCAAAAAATATGTTTGTTATTGTCTATTTGTTTGGGCAATTTTCAATTTTGTGGGTAAACAAATTGCTGTCACCATGAATATTAACAAAATATTCAAATTACATAAATATAATTGCATGAATATTTATTGGCTGAAATTTAATGCATTGTTTGTGATCTGCGAATCCGACAATAGCCAATGCCAATTGGCCATATGCCAATTATTTATTAAATGACCAGCCGCGTTGCCAATCGGAATTTATTTTTTGTTTTTGTCTTTTGGCTTTTTAAAGATTTTCGCACAAGTTGCGAGTGAACGGAGGAATCTTTTTAATGAGATTTTCATTGTGAATTATTATTGTTACCCAAAAACGATAAACTTTTCATCAATTTGTTGCTGTATTCCTGCAAGTATTTTTCCGCCTGACATTTATCATTTTATATTATGTGCCCGTCCCTTCACGGAAAAGCAGAAATATCTGGGTGCCCTATGCTCGACATTGTTGCCGATGCAGTTGCCATTGCTAGTGGCTATCGTAATTTGTTGCAATTAATTTTAATTGCATTGCCTGTCATTTCCATTTCGATTTCGATTTTTCACACACAATTTGAATAAATCAACAAAATGCTGCTGTCGCAACAGGCAGAAACAATAACAGAAAAGAGAGAAAAAAGAGGGAATGAAAACCAACCTTAAATGGCAATTTAAGCAAATAAATTAACGATGAAAATTAATGCGTTTTTATAAACAAACTGTGTGTGTTGCAGTGCGTCCTCTCCTCGTGGAAATCAGTTTCAACAACCAGCCAATGTCGGCGGATCGAAAATATGAGATCGAGTGCCAGGCAATCGGCTCGAGACCACCTGCAAAAATCACCTGGTGGATGGGGAACCTAGAACTGCATGGACATAGCCAAAAGGTACGAGTATACCTAGTTTCAAATAAGAATTTGTAATATTTAATTTTAAATTATCTTTAAAGGTATCTGAGGATGGAAATGTAAGCACTTCCGTGCTTTCTATAACCCCCACAAGGGAGGATCATGGCAAGGCTCTGTCCTGCCGCGCAACCAACGAACTTGTTCGCAATGGCATTCGAGAGACAGCCATGAAGCTGAATGTGTTTTGTAAGTATTTCTTTTAAAAAACAAATATAAATATTTAAAAGAGCCTAACAAATTAGGGTAGCCTTAAAGCCATTTATTAAAAAACTCCTTCAAGTCTTAGGAATTTAAGAATTATATATTTACGAAAACATTGAAATATGTTTAGGTAGCAGTATTTATACACTGATAATGAAATCAGTAAATTCTATTTTAGAACATCTTTAAAAATCGTTTTTCTTATTATATTAACATTTTATTAGGAAGCAATTCATAAGAGTTAAAGTATAATTTGGTTCCACAAATAACACAAAGCAAATTCTTTTGTATATATTTGCTCTTTTCTCCTTAACTTAACCAAGCAATTAAGTTCCAAAATTGGATAACCTATATAGTATAGATTTTTCCTTGGAGAATTAATATCAATCGAAGCTATTGTCAATGGCTCTGTTTTCCCCCTCCGTGCATATTTTGTGTGCCAGGAACAACTGCCGCCATTCCATTGCCATTTAATAACACCCGCGTTTGACATATGCCGCTGCTTTATGAGTGCCACATAAACCATCGATGGGGCCGCGTTTCTGTTTCTCGTGCGATCCCATAAACTATGTCAACCGCTTATCGCCCATGTCCCTTTGGGAATCAATACTGTTTTGCATACCAATGCCATAGAGACGAGCCGGGCGATTGGAGCGGGGATTTGGGAGCACTGTTCCAAATATTGGCGGGCTTTACATAATGCATTCCACTTTTTTGCGTTGGCCCCGGCTCGTATGTCAAACGTTTGTTTTATGGGCCGCGTCAACAATGTGCGGGGCTAAAGTTTGTTAATAAAATTTCTATGGCAAAAATATTAAAAGACCGCGCGTGGCGAAGGAAACAAAAATTGTGAGCACACTGCTCTATATAGTGCGACAAGCCGGAAAGCTCACTTTAAGCCACAATCCTCGACCCCGCACCTATGTACATATATAGCCCACATATGCATGGAGAACGAAGAACCCTTAATGTTTCAATAGTCCCAGAGTCTCGTGTCCTCTCATCTCCTTTGGCTGTGACGACAGCGTCTTGGGCAAACAGTTGCCACGTCTATTATCTAAAAAGCTTGCCGCCTCGTTGTTCCCCAATGTCATTGAAACTTTTACTCCTTTCGGTGGCTTCTGCGATGATGGGGATGCTTCCCCAGGATGCTGCAGATAGAGCACTGAGAGAAACTAAATTGTTTGCTAGCAATGCTTATAAAAGTTAACTTGTACATATTTTATAGAGTTTCATTTAAATGAGTAATTTATAAATAGATTGAAACAGAGTTATGCAATAATTCTTATTCTTATACTTTTAAATTGAAACATTCTCCATTTACATGAGCATTTATAGATACTCTCTTCTATTTTCAATTTTCATACAATATTTCCTTAAGTGTACTCTTTCCTGGTGGGAAAATGTCGGGCGCAGCTTCTGCGCGAGCGCTGATATAAAAAATTAGATAACAATTTCAATTTCCATGCTCATTTACATGTTTATAGCGTGCTTAAAATATTTCGGTCCCCCGCTCAGTTTTCCTTCGTCCTGACACTTCCTGAGATTTCATATTTCCCGCCAGCCCTTCGGCGCGCCCCCAAAAAGAAAATTTTGTGTCTTTTTTAAGCGCGTCTTTGTTTGCCTTTTTGCGTCGCGGGGGTAAATTGAAAAGTTGATGCAATGTCTGCCGCTGCCAGGGTTGAGCAGGGGCAGGTTGAAGTTGACGCTGCCAATAATTTTCTCATTATATTACATCACATTTAGCCGGGGCCATAAAAAAGTTATCTCTAATATCTTAATCTGCCACTTCAACGCAACAGAGTCTGGCCTCTTATTTTCTACACAATCAACTCCGGTTAGGCTACCGAAATGAAATCAACAGGAAAAGCCCTGCCAACCAAAAATTAAAGTCATATCCGTAATAAACTTAATGACAAGGCTGATTTAAAAAAGAAAATATTTACGACGTGATGAGAAGAGCTCCACGGAGGGAAAAGCATTTCCATGGGGCTTGATTTATGGGTTAATAATAAAATTACTCATTTTAAAAGTATGAAAAACAAGAGGACTTTTTAATTAGAAAATATGTCCTTCCTCTATTAAGTAACATACAAATTAACTTGATTTAATAATAAACATTTCAGTTATTTCCTAGAAATTCTTACTCCGCAAAGCTTAATTGAACTGTAAAGATAGCTAATATATTTTTCATTTAAGAATTCATTTAATATTACATATAAAAAGCTTTCCTTTACAATTCTATTACCCTCGGCAATAGTATAAAATACGAAAAATAGGAAAATAAAGTTGCCGGCTAATGTAATTTATATGGCCAGAGAGGACAGAGGAATCAATTTAAGGGCTGCTAACGAGAACTTGCCCAACTTTGTGCAATAGACAATGACAGGCCTTATACACACTCACACACACACACCAGCATCCACACCCACACTGGCAAAACACACAGACAAGGACATACAAATCGAGTCCTTCCTTCTGCAACTGCAGCTGCAACATAATGTGGCAGAGGCACTCAAAAGTCGTTACGTTAAGCTGCAGTTACGACTGGGATGGGCTTGCTTTGGTTTTTCCTTTGGTTTTTTGGGGACAATCCCGCCACGAATGGGGCACGGGGTCGCCGAGATGGAGGACCATAAAATGCATTAGCCAGACGTAGTTGGCCAGCTTGGCCAGTGACAGTTATTACCACTTAAGCCCATCCTAACCGCAACAGTGTGGCCTGCCAGCCACTTGGAGCATCCTTCGGAGAATATCTCACTGTCATTGTGCAGTTGAAAAAAAAGCAAAACTTTTGCCAAAAATTATGTTTATAATTAAGGAATTACAATTAAGTTAATTAATTTCTGTTCTATACAAAATACTTGTTAACACTTAATTGCTGTCATCTTAGTTGGCACATTTTGTAAAGACTTTAACAAACATTTTCGCCAAGTGCACATCCTTATTTTCCTCTCCTTTCTGTTTAGTTTTCTGGTACTGCCTGTTCCCGGCTTAAAGTCATCGCTAATGAACTTGTTGAGCGGAAAAAAGATAGACACAATGAGGGAGACAGAGCGAGGCGGAGGCTGTGGGAAAACTCTTTAAATTATGCAAACTGCTTTGACTCGTCCTTCTTCCTGTCTCCATTGTCCTTGCCACCCTAGGCGCACTCCTTTCCTCAAATCTAACTCCCACTTCCACTCCTCCTTTCCATTCGTTTTTCGCTCGTTCTTTCGCCATCTCTGGCTGTTTGTGTGTGTGTTAAAGCACTTTTCATTTTCATTAACAAGTCTTTGCAAAAGACGAAATCGGCTTAAAGAAACTTGCTTATAGAACATGCCACCCTAGAAAACGGAAAAGAAAAAGCCAGAACACTAAGCACACAGAGACCCAAGACCAAAACTAGGAAAAGCGGGAAAAAGTTGCCAAAAACAATGTGCAAAATAATAATAAACAAGTGGAAGGTGGCAAAGAGCCGAAGGGGCAGCGGGAAAGATCCATGAAGGCTGGAAGGGGATGGAAAATGGTAGAAAATGGTAGAAGCGACACTAATCACGGATAAGTCCGGATTAACCCCCTTTTTCCCCACCCTCTCGATGCCTTTCTTTGGACCCAAGTTGAAGGATTGTCCAAAACAGTAAATTACGTTTGATGGACTCGAAGTGAATCCGAGTTTCGAATCCGAGTCTAAGTCGCCGCCTTAGTCAAATGAATACAATACTCATCCGCCTCTTCTTACTTTCCTTTGCAGTCATCCCCACCTTGCAGCTGGACCTGGGCTCCAATCTAAATCCGGAGGATATCGAGGAAGGCGATGATGTCTATTTCGAGTGCAAAGTGCATGCAAATCCGGCTGCTTATAAAGTTGTATGGAAGCATAATGTAAGTGAGCAAATATAAAACTTTCTCTGACTTGCAATATTTATGAAGGGGCAGGCTGTCGAAAAAAGGAAAACACTCTTTATTGATACAGAGAGAGAGAGAGAGAGAGAGAGAGAGAGAGAGAGAGAGAGAGAGAGAGAGAGAAAGAGAGAGAGATAAACAGGGAAAAGAAATATAAATATTCTAAAGTGTAAAGAAAAGTTTGCCAAAAATATATTTCAACGGCATTTAAAATGTATTATTTTCGCTCGACAGCTTGACAACATTTTTGGTCAAACTAAGTTCTTTTTGTCTTTGGTACAGAGAGAGAAAATCTTGTTCTCCTAATATAACATAAGCTATGAAATATAATATGACATTGCTTACTGAAACAATATATTTATGTCCTCTGCCATAGAATGTATTTGGGAACCCAAAACAAAGTGTTTTAAATACACGAAAGAAACATACAGTTCAATTTAATTTTTAGTTAACCAACATCTTTAGAAATTTATTAAAAACTGTATATTATTTTTTATATAATATTTCAACAAATATCTGGGAAATTCCATTTAATTTCTTAACGTGCACTGACCTTCAGATATACTTGAAATGTTGCACTCAAGGCAATTGAGCGTACAACAGCCGAACTTCCGGCAATTCCCAAGACATTGGCGTGCTCCTTACACACACACACACGAGCCGGCGGCCGGGTAAATTATTATGAAACCGAAATTAAGTGGTCATTTTTACTGAATTATTGTCCAATTATTTTAAGGCAATTGAGTCAAGTGGCCTGGCCGGCTATAAGACAAGTTTTAGGCAGGGGTGGTTTTTCGGCCGCCACAGAGATCGTACAAGTTTACCAGGCAAATCATTTGTTTATTACTTTGGAGCACAAAGAACTCGAACCGCAGCAACAACAAAGACGGGCAAATAAATGTTATTCAATGCCGAACAAGAAACGAATCAAGTGTATGAATAATATGAATGCTAATTGAATTCATTCACAATGAAGTACACGACCAAACAAAGAGCTAAGCTAAACAACGGCAACAGCAAGACCAACAACTTAGTCATAACTTTTACCGAAAACAACAATAAGCAAATACAAATACTCGAAGACGACCAAGAACTTTTCTGGAGAATGGGGGCTAACGAAAGAAAATTTAGTACAAAGGAACTTCCACAGGACTCGGTTGGGGGTTTTAGGAAGGTTCTCGACGAGGGGGATGAGATCTAGGTAGATAAAAACTTTATATGAAATAATAATTTACCCAAGAGATAATGGGAGGGGGTTTTGGTTCGAGTGCTGATTCCTTTACGTCTATCTGGCATCGAACCAAAATGCTAATTATATGGGGAATGGAGCAGGGAAAGTGAAATACAAAGAGGTAGCGATGTGATGTGGAATTCAATGCTAAATGTAAATTAACTGCAGAGTTAACCCTTCACTTTATCGAAGAAGAAATACCCTTTCAAACGATCACTACTGAATTTATTTAATTGTATAGATCCCTGCTGTTCAATTAATGCATCAACCAACTATTAAACCCTTGGAATATGTATGAACTAGCTTACAGGCCAGTAGGTGACAGCAGCACAGCTAGTTAGTTAGCTAGTTGGTTGACAATCGTCACTTTCATTTAGCCAGCTCAGCGTGAAAACCCCCGCAGCCTCTCTGCTTCTCCTGCTGCTGCTGTCCCTTCGCCTTTTGTCAAGTGTCATAACAATAAAAGTTCACTGTGGCAGTGCAAAAATGGAAATGGAAATGGATACGAAACTAAGCCACACACACACACAGGAAAAATAGTGAAAAAGTGAGAAAAACTTAGGAGGACAGGCGAGACGGCGGTACACATGGCGTATGCGTAACGAGTTCAAGGCCAACGTGGCAACGCGGCAAATTGCAAGCGTCTTATGCGCAGTCGGGCGTTCATTAAAAGTCAATTGGTAATTGGCAGCATCGACAATGGCAGTGCAACCTGAAAATGCAATTAAAAGTCAAATCAAGTTAAATCAACTCGACTGGGTAGTAAATTAATTTTTGTTTTGCTACCACATCGATTCGGTTTGAACAATTCGTTAGTTTCGAAACATCCGCAGGGCAAGAGTGTAACGAGCGAAGGAAACTTGTCTTCGTTCTGTTATTATTCAATTAGACAAGCTGACAATTAACGACGAGCTGGCAAATTAAATTAACAATTAGTTTTATTAAACTTGCACACACACTAGCATACAGACAGACAGACAAAAGTTTCCCAATGTGTGTGCGTGTAAAAGTTTTACATGTTCATTAACAACAACAAGGAGGAGCAGAGCTGGAAGCGGAAGCAGAAGGAGCAGAACTTTGATGGAATCGTTGGCCTAGCAACCAGCTAGCCCCGAATGAGTCCTGCCGGCAGTAAAACTTATTTAACCCACACACACATATTCATCTGCGCTGCGTCAGGAACCGCAGAAATAGCAAACATTTCCAGAAAATTTGATTAGAGAACAAAGTCAGTGGAAACGACTTTAAAGTTTCCACAGAACTTGGCCATAAATATTTACATAATTCTGCAAGGCAATGGCAATCATTGGCTTTGTACTAAAGGCATTTCAGCCTTATTTCATCGACTTGGATAAATAATTGAATTACTTGAGCAAATTAAAATGTCTGCACGTTTTCAAATCATATATATTTCATTAAAATACATTAAAACAGAAGTATATTGAGTGTGCGGGCAGTTTAAGATATAAAAATATTTGAGCAAGAGAAAAGAAAGAAAGTATGTTCAGACAAAGCATTGTGCAGGACTAAAAGAATAATTAACCTAATGTAACTTGGTCATCATAAAACGTTTAAACAAACCCTTTTTTAAAAAATCAAATGCAAGTGTGAATCCTCCTCTTGACGGAAATGCCTGGAAAACAGGCACCCCCAATGATGGGCTAAACCAAAGCCAACTCAATCAGGCTGAGCCATCGGATAAATTACGGACACTAATTGGGTATTTATAGTCGGAACAAACATCAGTGACAGACGAACACGAGTGGGCGGTGCTCGGGAGCTGGCTCTCGGCGCTCGAGGAGTGGCTGGCAAACATGTCGAAAACACGGCCGAGAGACAGACAAACAGAAATGGCAACGCATAAAATGCGCCATTAGCATTGAGGGGCACTAAAGGGTTGTGCAGACATCATCAAGTCGGATGAGGGGGTGGGTGTGAGTGGTTGGTTGGTTGGGCGGTTGGGCGACCTCGAGGGGCGGAAATTCTGCAGCGGATGTGCCCCAAACTATTTGAAATAATCCTTGACGCCCACTCGAGCGTAACGGCTGCTCTGGCCTACCGTCTTTCTGCCCTCTATTCGCCTTTGTTTACACTTTTTGGTTCGTCCCAATTTTTATTCGGTTTGTATTTTCCTTTTTTTTTGCTGCGACAACCTTGAACTTTATTTACTTTTGGGTATATATGCCTAGTGACATTTTTATTTGTTTTATGACAGCAAGGTCGTCGAGCCAAGCCACAGTTCGTCCGCTCCCCTCTTTTTTTTTTTGCTATTTAAGCCAACCCTGCGGGAATTGAGGCTGTGCGGGAATTGGCCAGTCTTTTTCAGCGAGCGAATGGTGAATAAGGGAACTGTGCCTCGGGGACTCTTCTTCTTCTGCACTTTAAGGTTATTTAAACAGGTCGAGGGAAATGCTAATGGAGGAAGTCGTCACTGCATGTGTAATGGATACACTTGTATCCGGAATCGCCATCTACATCTGGTCTCGGATACAACCACTGACACTCGAACAATAGTATCAATCATTCCACCACAAAGCAAATGGAATTGAATGGCCAAAATGTCAGTCGTGGCCAAATATTGTTACGTTCCGGCACACACATTCGCCGTCTGTCTGTCTAACCATCTAAATAATTGTTGACATATCCACAATGGAAAGGGCACACACCACGGGCCAAACAAAAGACGCGGCGCGAAATTCCCAGGATCCCAGGTCCCCCAACCAATGCATTCCGATATGAACTGAGCCCATATTTTCCCAGACCTGCTTAGTTATCTGACTTGGGCTATTTAGCACACTTGAAGAAAACATCTAACATTTAAGTGAGGATGTTATTATAGGAACGTAGAAATGGTATAAGAAAAATAGAGAGGGAAATAGGTGTACTTATGTATTGGAAAATTCAAACGGAAGGAAGGAGTTGACACTTTAAACTTTTGAAACTCTCCTATAGTTTCAACATAAACTGATGTCACATACCTATTTATGGTTGTTATATTTGTAATAATTTTATATACTTTTATCAACCGTTTCTTTGAGTGTATTTGAACCCCACTATTATCTAGGTGTTGGGTTGCCTGACTGCATTGTTTCTATTTATTTGCACACACACATATATCCAGATATAGGAGCCTCTCCGTACACGGATGTGTGCTAAAGTCGTCGGGGCTTTGTTAGGCCTGGCTCTGGCTTTTTGACTTTTGTCGACCATATTTATACACATTTTTATTTCTATTTCTATTTATTTCAATGCTTTCATTGTTACCCGCCCCCAATGCCACCTCCTTCACCGTTTGTTTGTTTGCTGAGCTCCGGCAAAGTGCGAATTTGTTTTGCTGCTAAATGGCACAAGGCTCTGGGGAAATGCGTCAAAATGCTGTCGAGTGGCGGCCCGATGGGGAAAAAGGCTACAAAACCAAAAGACGAACGAACACCGGGCTCCGAGCATTATTTCAAAATGAGAGCGAGAGTGCGGGAAAAGCGAGAAGAAGGTCAAGTCTCAGTAAGCATTTGGGTGTAAAAGCCTCTGCTTCATGTGTGTGTGTGTGTGTGTGTGTGTGTGTGTGCTTAAGGAAAACTTAAAGTAAATATTGGCTGATTTTTCAGCATCGATGCCGAGCACGTAGCCAAGCGTCCAAGGCGCTGTTCCCTAATGAAGCTGCCAGAGCACCGAAGCGCACATTTATGAGTATTTTTTGGGGTGGCGAAAACTGCCGAGCTCAGTGACCTTGTATCCAAAGGATGTAAGTGAATAAAAGCTAAGCAAACAGAATTTTTTAGAGGCAACTTTGGCCAGGCAAAGTGAGTTTCATATAACTTAATATGCGAACTGAACTAAATTGATTTAAATTTAAGAATGTTGCAAGCTTTATGAGAGTGTAAGTGTTTTAAAAATCAAATGTATCTCATTATATGCTTGTGCTTTATATAATTAGGAAAAATATGTGGAGCTGTTAATCCTATTTAAAGATTAAGAAAAGCATGTCTTTGGATATGAAAGTCATTTCATGAAACAGCTTAAGGAAAGCATTGCAATACGACTTACGTTTAATTAGACTAATTAGGTCTTTTGCAATGATCTCGCCCTTTAGCTCTCTGTCTCTCTCTCTCTCTCTCTGTCCCTACAGTTTTAGCACTAATTTGCGTATATATTTTTGCACAATCCCCTTGCCATGTTACACAACGTTAATTACGACCTAATCGTACCAATTGCAGCACCAAATCATCCAGCACAACCAGCGAGCGGGCGTGATTGTCAGCAGCGGAGACCTGGCACTCCAGGGCGTCACACGTCACCAGGCCGGGAACTACACCTGCACCGCCTCCAATGTCGAGGGCGATGGCGATTCTAATGTGGTCGAGCTGAAAGTGATGTGTGAGTATCGATTGATGGTTATTTGTGGGATATGTTGATTTGTGGCACTTTGCCGCATCTTGAGCGTATTTTGTTGTCAATTCTGACCCATTAAAATACGCTCTCGGGGATCTGGTTCCGAGCTAGTGATGGAAATATAGATATATCGATCTAAAAATATTTGACATTTGGGAATCATTGGTTTTTTGGCCTTCATATACCTTCGAGAAACCATAGGTGTATTTAATCGATATTTTTATAAGCTAATTGCAATATGCTTAACTCTGTCAAAGATTAGGGAATTTCAATTCAAAATGCTTTTCTGTGGTCGTTTTTATATTCATATTTCATATTGCATATTTTTGCATAAATACTTCTTCACTGTGTTGCAAGCTTCTAAAACGAGTTATAATACCCTGCAAGGTTATACAAACTTATTTGTTTTTATCACTATCGAAACGTTTAAACGATATTGAAGAATCGGATCAATAGATTTACATCCCTAGTTGCGCCATTAACGAAGGTTTCGCACAGGTCTTAAATAGAAATTCGAATTCAGCTCCAGAAGTACTTCAGTGGAATCCTTCTGCTTTGCTCCCGATGCCGCTGTTTGGTTTCTCGAGTGGACCTTTGACACACAAAAACGAGCATTATTGAGTGTTCGAGTGTATGCCCAGAGATGAGGATGGATGGCGGAGGCAGCTGGCTGAATGGGAAATGGCCGGCATTGTGCGCTCGTGCGGGCCTCTTGCAGTTTTATTGCGTATACGCCCCATTATTGTGCCCCGCTCGAATGCTCTTTTGTGTGCCGCCACGCTGCGAACCCACGGACCCTCGTGAACATGGCCGAAAAGTGGATCTAGCAAAAGAGTGAAGCTTATTCACCAGAAGCAATATCTCGCTTTATCTTTGAAAGCATGATACAGGCGATATTCAACTTTTGAGAGCCAGGAGCTTTAATACCCTTGGACTTCTAGATATCAATTTAAATAATATCTACACTTAATATCAATTTCATCAATACCTGTCCAATTTTAAGTTATGTTTGTATTGGAGACCTTCAAGAAATCTTTCTTGAAGAGTGTACAAACATAATACTTAAAGCAAAATCATTAAAGGTTAAAACTCTTTTGGGGGCTTGGGTAAAATTTGAGAGGCTTTTCTGCTTGAGGAGCACGACAACCGCAAATCTTTCGCTCAATTTGCGCCGGATTCCTGAACTTGGCCCCGTCTCGAGTCAAACTTTGGTTAATTAGTTTGCCTTTTTCAAGCAATTTAGCAGGCCAAAGATCCTTGTATTCATTTTCGGCACCCGTCGTCCGTTGTTGTGGCCCTAGCTTTGGTTTTTCCGGTGGCATTTCCCTTTTATCACTTCCACTTCAATTTTTTGCTTTATTTTGTTCTTTTCTGGAGGACAGGCTTTTGTCTTAAGTAGAGCTTCCGCTCCCACAAAACTCGCACAGCGACTTAGTGTCCAACTGGCACTGGCACTTCCTTCTTTCCACAAAAAAGGGTATTCCCCCGGCTCCCCGAACTGCGCTAAAAATTTGTTTATGGCGTGGCCAGTTTGGCATGCAATATCGACAGTTGTCAAATAGCACAATAAATTCGCCACTTGCAAACTGGCAACTTTTGCAAGTGTCGAGGCCGTGGCAGGAGACAGTGGAAGTGGGATTTTCCCCGGGCAAAGGATTAGAAAATTGAATTTTCCCTTGCCTCGGCATCGCAGTTTTACCAAGCTTTTCGCGTTGCAGTTGGCAAAAGTTTTACCCGAACAAAGTTTTTCTTAGACTTGAGTTCTCCTTTTGTAGTGTTACAAAATGTATTCGAATTTTGATCGAAACAATTCAAGAAACTCTTTAGTTTGACAAATATGAACTAAATAAGTCAAACCTGATGGAAGTATGCACACTTTTAAGGAAAAGAAACCGCTTTCAAAAGACGTACATCCAAATTAAAATATTACACTTATAAAAGTCAATGCTAATTTCTGTTATTAATTAAATTAAATAAATTACAGAAGAATATTTAAAATTTGGAATGGTAAAATTTATATAATCTTATAGTTTGCAATTGTATTTAGGTATCGAATTGAAAATCAAACATATCCGAGCCAAAATATCATTTCGATTCTAAAATAAATGAACTTAATAACTAAATACCTATATTAAAATGCTAAATTTTTAATTCTTAACCTTAGTAGGCTTTAATAGTTGTTTATTTAAGTTGTGGTTGACGGTTGAAAGCTCGATAAGGATCCTTGGATACGAATCCCTTGTTGACCTATCCCTTGTGCTTTAGACTTTTGCTGCTTCAGTTTTCTCCTCGGTGTGTTTTCCGTTTTCAATCCTCTATTCTCTGTTTAGTTAGCTGCCTGAATGGTCAACAATCGAGGCTGGGCAGCCTGGTAGCTGCACAAAAGGGAAAACTTTTGTACTTGGGACTTTTGAGCCGACGAAACGCTGAAGCCTTGGCTTCGCAGTTTGATGCGATTATTGATTCCAGCTGCCGATGCAAACAGCAGAATGCACTACAAACCAACTTTCCTTCGATCTCCGCACTCACAAAAGCCTTTTTCCCACTTTTTCCGCCTTGCAGATAAGCCCATTTGCCGGCCCGATCAAAAGAAAATCTATGGAGTGGCGCGGAACGAGGCGGCAGAAATTGTGTGCGAAGTGGATGCCTTTCCGCCGCCGGAGAACTTCAAATGGTCCTTCAACAACACGGCGGAGACCTTCGACATGCCGCAGAGCGGATTTCGGCCTCATTCCGCCCAAGGATCAACCCTCACCTACACGCCCGTCAAGGTGAGTCTCATTGAGAGTTCGAAAACAGAATTCGGTATACAGGATATATGGATGGATATATGGGAACCGACAAATGTCGGCCTGATCGGAAATCCGGGAATCGGGTATCAGGAATGGGAAGCCGGTACTCTTAGATGCGTGACCCATTCGTTGCGTTAAATGCTAAACACGTCAGACACTCGATTTATTCCGGGTGGAAGTCTGCGGCTCGCTGGTAAATTTTTCATTTCATATTTCGCTGCGCTGGCTTTTAATGTGAAATTGTTATTGACACATTTGACATTTCGGCCAGCGGTTTCACTGCGCGAAAATAAAAGATATCCTATCGGAATCATATATTATTTATCATATTTGAAACATTTTAATTAATAAATCCATCATGTTTGCAACACTGCACTTTTTAAAAGCGATAAGCTAACAAATAATAATTTAAATAATTTATTAATTTTGTTTGGGCTTTAAAATTATGATTACTTTTACTTTCAGTGCCCGGTTGTTACCATTGAACTCCACGGGGGGCTGTCTGTTATTGAATAGCAAAAATTTTAATTAATAGGCGGGTCGCATGGTCGCTTGGTCTCTTCCCGTTGTTGCCATTTATTTTGGCCTGTGTGCGTGTCATGTTGTCAGCCAGCAGCAGGGAAAGTGAACGGGGACTGAGGTGGGACAGAGTCCTTCCCATGATAGAGACAACAGCGTGAGCCATTTGGGCCAGTCGAGCGATTTTAATTAAAAATTCTATTAGCACTGCTTTCTAATTAAAAATCCAATAGCACCAGCAGCAGCAAAGCCACCACCCACCATCGCCTACACCATCATCATTATCGTCATCATCATCATCCGCAACAACACCATTAAATGTCAAAGGTTATTGGAAAAAAGAGCAACAAATACCCGAAGCACAAAAGAACAGGAGAAATTATTGGAAGTAAATGCCATCGACTTTAATAGTTATCATCATCATTGGCTACAATGGAGGGGATAAAGCTAAGCATTTTTTTGCTCCTCCACATTTTTCCCACTCTTTGGTCCATCTTCCACAGTCCGTCTGTCTCTCTTTCTCTCGATTTTGGCAACATTTCCGCATTAATGGCCAAAAATGGCCAACAGCAATTGCGATTGCAGTTTCTGACGCTCCTCCCCAGCAATTGGCCAAGCAAATTGGCCATCAATGAGCTGCAGTCCCATCAATGTCCGAATTGGTGGAGTTTTCGGTTTTAGCATTTGATATCCCCAGTGCCGGTATCCCAATATCCTTGCCATCTGCTGCCCCCTTTGGGGGATATGTGTAAATTTTTATGGTCGGCCAAAAACAAAGTGTCTTCGAAATTGGCAGTCCATGAGATGAAACTAGTTAGCCAGCAAAAGTTTATAGTTCTCAGGATCAAATGGCGAGAGAGATTGACTTGTGACTGGTGAAAAGAAAACGAATAAAGATAAAGTATGGCAAGGGATTTAATATTCTATCCTTTTAAATGGGAAGAAAAAATCTATTTGAACTTAAAACAGCTCTTTAAGAACAATCCAGTGAGTTTTCTTGCCTGGACTTTTGTTCCATCGCTTACATTCTCCTTCCACCGTCTGACCACAAACGTGTTAAGTTTTTGGGGACTGGACTTGTGGTCGCTTGCCAGCATGGGCAACATGGCTGTCATTATGCGATGACAAGAGCAACAACAGGCGAAGATGCATTTGGCAAGTGGCTAAAAGGGAGTTAGGGAAAGAGACGCTGCAAGAGGGCTCAAAGGATAGGGTGCAGAGAGGCACTCAACACAGTTGTTCAAGTTGCACGGCACCCAGTTGGTTTGGTTTTTGGTCAGGGTTCCGTCTGGTTTCCTTCCACTGACCCAGTTTAAAATGTTGCGGCTTCTTCCGCAGTTTTCCGTGATTTTCCCTCTATTTTTTCACTTATTCCTTACTTTTTCTTTGCCCTTTTTTTGGCATGGAACTAATCAAACTGGCGGCGACAACTTTGGCTCACATTTCAGCGATCAAACGAACGAATTTCGAGGCAGTCAAATGGCATTCAAATGAGTTCCGCTCACAAACACTCGCACAGCGCACTGATTGGACAGACTCACACACTGGCACTGCCACTGGCACACTCACAGACATAAATCATTTAGCTCAATTGAATATGAAAAATCCCTTCCGTTCTGTTGTCATATATGCTGTTTCCGGTTTCCGCCAACCGCAGCTCAAACGTCGTTGTCGTCGACATTCTCATCGTCGTCGTCCTCGTCGTCCTCATCACATTTAGGTTGGGATTTTTCTGCTCGGATTTTCGCCCCACCGACAATTTTATTTTTTCCTGCCTCTGCGATTCGCCTCAAAGGCAGCCAACAGCTCATTAATTTTGTTTTGTGCATGGGCATTTTTGCTCCTCCCATATTCCCCCCAGCATTTTTTCTCTATTCCATTGCTATTTTCTATGTGTTGGCAGAGCAATTTTTGCCAGACTTTCATGTCAAGCAATTTCCGCTGCTGACATATAAATTTCTCAAATATTTCACAAAAATATATTTCGGTCTTTCGCTATTTCTAGAGCAAAGGAGCTCCCACTCTGTGGCGCCCAGTGCAAGAAACTCATTAAAATGTCACTTAAATGTTTAAATTTTTAATTAAAATGCATAAATAATAACGACAGACTTGAGCTAAAACGAAATGCACAGAATGCAGTGCCTAGAAGTGCCAACAATTTTCTTGTCATTTTGCCCTCTTTGCAAAGCTTTGGAGCCTTAAACACATACAGAAACACCCTACATCAAGTATACGTACATATATTTTATGGATTTTGTTTTCGTTTCTACGGCTGCTGCTGCAACAATATTTACCCTTTTTGCTGGCGGAACATTAGAACAATATAAACAAAATAAAATAATCATAATAAATAGATGGGCATAAATTCAGAGGCCCAAGGGAGTAGAAATTATCAAGGATTGTCGGCCAGGGCGATGACAGTTGCACATATAACAAATATGTAAACCATGCTTCGGGCATAAAATCGTTGGATGCCCTTTCAGGACTAAGGAATCACATTTTGTCATTGGATATTTTGTAAAAAATGTTTTATATTTTTAAATATTTCTCAAGTGATTATTAAATAATTATAATGTTTTAAGCGAGACACCATTAATTATTAGGGTACCAACAGATTTTAGGGTTTCCTATCTTATTGGACTTGTGTTACATCACCCTCTTAAAGGGTATATTTATATTCCACATATGCATATTCCACATTGATTATTACTTAAAATTTTCAACATTTGTGGGCGAATATGTTTCAGGCTTTGTGCTTGTGGCCCTGGCAGCTCCATTATTATACAGCTCCGGCTCTTAGGCACTTCCCATTCGGTTTGGTTTTCCCTGTTGGTGTTGATGCGCAGTGTTGGCAGCTGCCAACTTGGCGCCTTTGTTGCCACACTTTGGAGCAACAACAAAAACTGCAATATCACACCAGACAACTGGACAAACACACATATCTATTTTAATTTTCATAAATTTGTCATAAATTTGCATAAACGCTGTTGCTTAAATTACGATGCACTCACACACGGTCAAAGGCTGAAGAATATTTGCAATTTATTTAAGACTTCAAAATTCCTAAAGGCGACTAAAGGCGTATTCACAAAGAGAGAGTTTGAGAGATTTATATTTCGATTTAATTCTTAACTACAGCCATAGGAGGAGGTTTAGACCCTCATCATTAAATGCCTTAATTGCGTTGTTTCCGATTGGTGTTTCAGAATATTAATGGCCAATTATTTCTTTAGCTAGAAACTGTCTAATAAGGTTTACAGATTAAGAGATTAACTTTAGGTTTTGAGGCTTAAGTGATGTAGATTAAAGGTTTTCTATTTAAATATTTAGTTAATCTTTCTAGAAAATATATTCAAGAAATTAACTATAAATCTAAAACTTTTCTGCTTTATTCTTAATGATTTATTTTAATGGACAATTTATGCTTAAAGAATTGGAGAGCTCTTATCAAAAACAATTGGAGGAAGGGTGCATTAGGCCAAATAATCAATCAGCCAGCTGTATTTTTCCAGATGATTTGAGTTTCTAAAAAGCAGATGGGAAAGAAACCCAATACCCATTTCTCGTTCCCATAAATCTCGTCTTTTCCCGGGGCTGTTTTGGGCAACTTTCCCTACGGCGGGGGAATGTGTGCGCGTTTTTCCTTGTTTTTCTTTTCTTGCCCTAATTAAAATGACAACCACGCCCAGTTGCGACTCGAAAAAGATAGGAAAAGTAAAGAGACGAGGCCGAAACGCGTGCCGACTGATAAATAAGCTGCAATTTGCGTTGACATTTTGCCGTGCACCCGAAAGTGATTTCAATTTTTAATGAGTTCGGGCCGCCGCCTGAAGTTGATTAAGTGCGTTGAATCCGGTGGTGCTCGCAGTCAACGGGAAAGGCCAAAGGTAAACATGGCCCACAAAGATACTCGGATACGCAGGACACACAGGATACGCAGGGCTCACTGGGCACCGGCACAAAGTCCCCGTCAAAGCGAATCAATTGTTGTGGATGTGTGCGAACGTTACCACTAGTTCGGTGGGTGTGCGCACTTGACCGTAGACGAAGGATTTCATTAGCACAACATTTGACAAAATGCAAACAAATAAACAAGAGGTCCAAACAATGGCAAAGACCGCAGGCGGCCACTTAGCATGGGGCTACAATGGGATAGACAGGCATTAGGGCCATGTTAACATGGCTTTCTTCCGCTCCCAACAATTCGCATTCATGCCCATACATATGCCATAGCCGCGGGGAAACCACAAAACGCTTCATTTGTTTTCACTGCCGGGCATTTTTCCGACTTTCCCCAAGCCCTCCTCCTCTCCTGCATTGACATGACATGAAATTATATTAATGAAAAACTTATTGACAGCTGCGATCAATCAGGGGCAACTCTGACAACACACACTGGGCCCGTATCCATATTGATTTAATGAATTAAGTTCACATTGATGTCATGTGCGGCTGCTTGAATCCCATTTAAATGTGTGGCCAAGAGATGAATTCAAGTAGCTGCACTGGGAAAATGATTACAGGATGCTTTTCTATTTGAAGACTATAAGTCTATTTTTATTTTCAGTTGCTATTAAATTGTCACTGAATCAGTAATACTGTTCCAAGTTAACATTATAATCAATACTGTTCGTAGAAAAAACGATTCATATATTCATTGGTAATTCCTAAATAAGTTTTAAGATTTTCCATTTGTACCATAAAATATAAGAAATATTGCAAATAAAAATGGCTGAGATAGCAAATGATAGAATCAAGGTAGTGATATTTATTAATTAAGTATACAGGAGTAATAAAAATGAAAGAAGATTAAATATTTTATATTTACAGATCAAATAATACTTTTAATACTGGTAATTAATTTATTTTTAGTTTGTAAATATTGCAATTATTCCGTACTGTGCAATCTATTTTTGAACCATGTTCGCCCTCGAGTATTGATGAAATCCTGTCTCCTCCGACTTTTTGCAGGAAATGGACTTTGGCACCATCATGTGCTGGGCCGACAACAATGTGGGTCAGCAGAAGGATCCCTGTGTGTTTCATTTGATAGCCGCTGGCAAACCGGAAGCGCCCACCAATTGTACGGTGGTCAATCAAACGTCCGACTCGCTGGAGGTTTATTGCATCGAAGGTGAGTTATATGGCACATCTATATACATATATACATACATATACGTCAAATTGCCAGCCAATTTGTTGCCCTTCTTCATTGGGGCCGTGCCTTCTTTTTTCCCCCTTTTTGGTTCTATAATTGCTGATGAGCCAATCAAAGGCCGAAAAAGGCACTGGTCAGTAGGGGGCGTCTCAGAAGGATGGGAATGGCGATGGCGATGGGTGTGCTCATGTGCCGAGACTTCCCTTTGCAGCATGAGCACGTTGAGTGTGTGCGATGTGTGCTATATGTTGAGTTTCCTGCAACGCTTTTCAGACTCATTTAAAATACATGAGCAACTTAAGTGCACTTTGGCAGCCATCTACGAGAATGTCTATCCAGATACGTATTCCCACACTCGCACATAAAGCAGAGCCAACTTCCTTTCGTGATGCAGACACAAATAATAAAAATGCAATGAAAGCATAAAACTAGAAAGGAAACACTGTGTGCTGTGCAGCAGCGGGCAAAATAATGTTGCTAAATTTTCAATTCCACTTTAAAATTTGCCGTAATAAATAAAATAGAAGGCAGCTATCAAGCGATGGATGAACTGCGAGCCGAACTAAGGCAAAAATCTGAAACAGAGGACCGACAGAGGGCGAGGGAGATGCCAAAGTAGCACGGCAGGCAGAAAGTTAAGCGCAAATTTGTACATACAAAATGTTTTGGCTTGTTACGCAACTTGCCGGCAGTTGGCAAAGACGGAGAGCGGAAACTTTAAATACAAATTCAATTCGCATATTTTATGCGCAGCGGAAGAGTGCAAAACGCAAAGACAGAAAAATGCCAGCAAAGCGCAAAATAAGCAGCACAAATTGCAGGGCCCAGGGTTCAAAGTTCGCAGCGATAGAGTTGCACATTAGCGCAGACAGAGAAATGTCCTTGCAAATTGCAGCAGCTCAGAGCTTATGATGCATTTATGCAGTCCTTGAGTGCCGAACCGGAGACGGAGCGACAGGACGACAGGGCGAGAGAGAGGGGAGAAATTGCGGACGGATCCTGGATCCTGCGAAAAAGCAACGCAAATCAAAGCGTTGCATAACGAGGCGGCTGCTGCAAGAAGTGCAACAAAAAGCGCATAATAACTGCATACTTAATGGCGCTCTTTCCCCGTTACTGTTTGTTTCCCCTCGCAGATGGTCTCCCCTCTGTGCTCCCCTCGTTTCCCTTTTATTTTCACAGCCGGTTTAAGAGCCCAGTGTTTTCCACCAATTGTTGGCAATCACAATTGTTGTGCTCACTTAATGTTGTCTCAAGTGCGCGGCCACGCTGCGTATGTGTAATATGTAATTGCATTACAATTCGCTCGGCATGGTTTCCTTTTGTTATTGTGACTTGCCTTTGCCACCGGATACCTTTGAGTTGTACAATTGTTTTTTCCTTAGGGCATCATACTACACTATAATTTGTAGGGAACATTTAAAAATGTGTATTAAATTAAATAGGATTTCAAGACAAATTATAGTTAAAGATTCTTAGTTTAAATCATTTCAACGCTTCACTTTAATAACCCATAACAGTGCACTAGAAAAAACCATAAAGTAAATAATTCAAAGCAGATTACAGCTTGCTTTTAATTTCAGGCCATAAATATAGTATCATCAACATCATCCATGCATTCTTAATACTTTATATATTTAATGTATTGTGAAATGAAAAGAACAACAAACTTTAAATGCACATTATAGGAAATAAAAGATTATCAGTCTATCATTATAATATCAGGTTTAAAGCTTAACTTTGAATTTCATCCTGTATGCACTAACACCCATGGCTTCAAGCTTCCTTTTTCAGATATTTGTTTGGTTGCCTTATTACCGCATCACTCCCACTTCCTTCGACCATCCACTTCCGCCCCTCGGGCTGCTAATTTAGTGGCTGCACATTATTATTATCATAGTCATCAGCATCATTAAAACTTTAACGCAAGTTGTTTAAGCACAACACAAGAGCAGCACCACCAGGGCAGCGCGCACAATGCGATACTTTTTATATTGCACTCTACATTAAGGCGAACGACTGCTGAAAGACCACGCCCCCTCACAAGACCCTCCGCCCACCGCCCACATCCCTTGATCGTTTGTTTTTATAATAACTCAACTTTAGCTGCGGTCGACTTTAATAAGCCAGCACGCAACTTGGCCAACTCAACTCAACTCGACGTGGCCGGAGCTCAGCTCGACCAAAACTGAACCGAACTGAACCCCAGTTAAACCAACTCCCACCGACTCGAATTCAATTCAATGTACGGAGTACATAGTGGAGCTGCAGCTGCTGAAGACAACTCCACATCTTGGGGCCAAGTTCAGTTTGTTGCTGCTGCTTTTTTCTCCTTGGAAAACAAAAATAAAACAAACTGACAGGGTAGCGGCAACTAACCAAACTCATCAAGCGTCGGTTTAGTATAATAAAATTTCAGTTTATAACATTTTACTTCTCTACTGGCGATGCTGATGCACTGAGCAACAACTGCAGTTTAAAATTAAATTGAAAACAAAATGATTAATAGCCTTTTATGAAAAATAAAAGGGGTTTTAAACTAAGAGTTGAAACCGGATTGAATGCTTACTGATTACCGATTTTAGTGAAGGAAATGTATGGTATATTACAAATTTTAAATAAGAGCGTTACAGGATAATGCAATTTATTTCTAAACTGCACACTGTTTAAAGTTTTTAATAAGCAATTTCTTTTTAGCAATATTTTCCTAAGTGTGCTTCTGCTTCCGCTGCTGCTGCCCCACTTGCTTTATTATTTTTACTCCACTTGCTCAGTTTCCATTGTTGCTGTAGCCAAGTAAATAAAATTAACCCATTACAATGAAGTTTTTTCTTTGGCTCTGACAACGGAGCTGCGGCAAATTTCATTAGCTAAACGCTTTAAAGTGCGCACAAAATGGCCGCCAACGAGAGCATTGGGCGGAATGGGGACAGGGAGTGATCCCTTGGTTGAGGCGGAAAAATAAGAACGGAATTAACCCACGCTGCCCCACGAGACCATCCGCCATTCACCACCCAACGAACAATGATGCTTTGAAGCAAAGGCCAAGCACATTCTCTTTACTCTATTTCCGTGCCCTTTTCTTTGGGTTCGTGAAAAAGCGACCAACAAAAACAACTAAAATTCATAGCAACATATAAAACATTTTCCCAACAATTTCTCCATAGGGCCCGAGCCCGGGGCATGTGGCCTGGCCGGCTGAAGTAGTTGCTCAGGACCTACCGCCGCCCTCCGCCTTCGAACCTTTTCAGCAAAAGCCGCTGCCTTTATTACAAAATATTTTAACATTTTTCGCAAGTGTTTTAAGTCGGCTTTTGTGTCTACAATGAAGTGCCATTTGAGCTGCCAAAGCTAAGCAAAAGCAGCCGCCGAAGAAGCTTACTTTCTGGCCAAAAGCCCCTGCCCTGCCACTAGGAAAAAGGGCCAACTCGAGTGGGCTTGGCCAGTTCTTTTGTGGTGTTATTAAATGGCATTTAAAATGTAACTTTAGATTACTCTAAATACATATTTCGACGGCGGTCGGCAAAGAGTTGAGGGGTCCTTCAATTACGAGTGAGCTCTACTCAAAGCTGAACTTGGGGGCTGACCTTTACTTGGGCGCTCTTTGGCTTTTTGAGTAACTAGAGGTAGAGCTTTACATTGAATTAAGAAAATATTAAATATATATAAAAGGGAATTAAATACGTCATCCCTGTCTTATTTGGTTTAAAACTTTTAAGCTAAAAACTTGTCATCCAACCAACTTTGTCTGCCTTCAAAGGACTTTCGAAACAAGAGCCCTTACAATCTTAAATAAATCTTTACCTTTATTAAATCCCCAACCAAATTCAAGGCATAAGCTGAGATAAACAATCAGTCAATTGTCAACTACTTAATATTAATAAGACCGCCCCTCTCCCTAAACCAATCGAATCCGAATCTCGGCCAATATGCTAAGTACTATAAGCCTCAGTTCGTGACAAGTGATGTAATCAGTGTCTCGATTTCCTTCCGCAGGCTTTGATGGCGGGATGCGACAATGGTTCCTCATGGAGATCTACGATCAGCACAGTGGCCAGCTCCAGGCGAACATCAGTGCCAAGTTCGCGGCCTTGAGTGTGACGGGTCTGGATGCTGGACGCCTGTTCCGCATCTACGTTTATGCCGTAAATGGACGCGGACGCAGTGATGCCATAGCCCTGGACGGGTACACCCTTAAGGCGGCCGAAAAGCAGACTGGTAAGTTGGTAAGGGTCCATCCCTTGGACCCATGAATTTTTAATGCATTCTGCAATAGGGGGAAAAGTGCACTGCCAGAAAATCGATGTCAGCTCAAAATCATTTGCTAAAATTCGCTTAAACGTGACTTCATGAAGTTCAAGTAAAAGTAAAATGGTTTCAATCTAAAATAAACAAAATATAGATTTCTCAGAACCTCATCAACCTGAATATTTTATTCTTATGATAATGAAAAGGCTTTTTCTTCCATGTACGTTTTTCTTTTTATGAATTTTTATACCCTTGCAGGGTATTATAATTTCAGTCAGAAGTTTGCAACGCAGTGAAGGAGGCACCTCCGACTATATAAAGTATATATATTCTTGATCAGGATCAACAGCCGAGTCGATCTAGCCATGTCCGTCTGTCCGTCTGTCCGTCTGTCCGTCTGTCCGTCTGTCCTTCTGTCCGTCTGTCCGTCTGTCCGTCTGTCCGTTTCTACGCAAACTAGTCTCTCAGTTTTGAAGCTATCTGAATGAAACTTTGTAGTTAGCCTTCTATATACTCTCACTCGTATATATGTCGGAACGGGCAGGATCGGACGACTATATCATATAGCTGCCATAGGAATGATCGTAAAATTTTTACAAAAAAATTTTTAACTTTTTCAGTTTTCAATAGAATTGGATCAAATTTAAGATATAGCCATTTTACTATACTCTACAATTTTGTTTAAAATTTTATGAAAATCGGACCAATATATCATATAGCTCCCATAGGAACGATCGAGAAATTAATACAATTAAATTTATAACTTATTTAGTTTTCGGCTGATTTTCATCAAATTTAAGGTATAGCTATTTTATATTAGTCTTAAATTTTTTGTCAAATTTTATGAAAATCGAACGACTATATCTTATAGGTGCCATACAAACGATCGTTTGATGTAGAGGAAAAATGCAAATCTGTGAATGTAAAACTGCAAATATAATATGTATAGGTGAATGAAATGAAAGCAGGTATTATTATTCATTGTTTTTTAACACAAATATATATAATTTATATTGTATGGATTCCTATTCATAGAAGTTCTATCTGCAAGGGTATATAAACTTCGGCGTGCCGAAGTTAGCTTTCTTTCTTGTTTATGCTAATACTGTAGCTCTTCCTTGCTGTCGTGCAAACGCAAAGGAATTGCATAACTTTGCATTCAGAGGCTCTGTATCAGTTTCGCGGCAAAGATTGTTCTGGTTTTATGATTATTATGCCACCTCGCAATTTAATTACGCTAAACTGCTCAATGAATTGTAAATTCTGCGACACAAAACTTTTGCCTGCAGTTCGGGGCAGGGGACTGAAAAAAATTGTATGCAGACTTCCCCACACAAAGTGGCGCAAAAAATCTGAAATGATTAGCATTAATGAATTGGGGTTGGAGAAAAGTGCGGAGAGAACCAGAGCAACAGAGTTTATTTTTATTGAGGGTAAGGGATCTAAACGAAAAAGGAAATTGTAATGCTAATTAGCCAAAGCAAGAGCTGACAGGAATTTTATTTTCATTTTCGTATTTTTCTCTTTTGGTGGCCAAAAGAAGGGAGAGGTCCTTGGAGGACACTCGCATTTTGTGTAAACATTTTGAGCCGACATTTCAATGTTTCATAAAGTCAGGTCCGGGCAATAGAGACGGAGAAAAGTGCAAAGCAAACAGCAAACAGCAAGAATGGAAGACGTTGGGAACGGAAAGATGGAAATCAGTAAAGAAAATTGTCTTTGCTGGGTCAGAGAGTAAATGCTTTGAGCAAAGGTTAAGCTTTGATTATGATCAGCAGTTCAAGAATATAAATATTTTCCTAGTGAAAGAATGTCCTGGAAAGATCATTGAGGGAGAATGCACAACTTGTGAAGAGTAATAAATAAAGATGGTTGGGTCAAAAGGTTATCTCTAAGCCTTGAGCTTATAAATATTTTCCAGTAATAAATTTATATTTAAGGTTTTATAATATATTCTTGTATCTTATCTTGCAGTTGCTTTAACTTCCTACAAGGGCAGCGCCCAGAGTCCCGACAACTTCGAACTGACACCGATCCTGTCCATTGGCATCTTCGTGGGCATCCTGGTGGCCATCGTTTGCATCGGGATCGGAACGATTGCCGCATTGAAGCTGCGCTCGCACAAGCATCAGCAGCAACAGAAGTTTGCACATCCGAATGCGAAATTCTCACGTCCGGGCAATTTGCAAATTAAGGATAAAATCTCATTGCCATTGAGTCACTCCGAGGAGATGTACGACGAGAAGAATCCCGATGTGGTGCCCTACAATGAGGGTGAGTACCTATCCCCGAGAATCCCTTTCCTTCCCTCTGGAATACCCTCAAGATAAATGGCGTCTGCCTTCGCTGGCTTCTGTTGGCAATTTATGGACGTTGGGCTCGAGGCTCCTGCCTTTCTTCCCTTTTATGCAAATGCATTTGACAGGCTGTCCGTCCGTCCGGCTGGCTCATGCAGGCAAAACAAACAGGAGCGGTGTGTCCTGAAGAGCTTGCTGCATTTTTGTGCCGGTGCTGAAATATTTAAATGACAGCTAATTGCTGTCAGGCCCTCGGTCCTTAGCTTGTTTGCTCGTGTGTCTGCTGTCGAGTGCCTTAAAGCTCCCCCTTTAAAGGGGGCCAAAGGGGGAACTCTCCCGAAAGCAGCACCAATTTCACTCACTGCACGTGCTCGCTTGATTAATGGCAATCAAGAAATCAAGCGGCAGCCAAAAGCAGAAGCAGCAGCACAACAATTTAATCAATTTTCCAAACGTAAAGCAATTTCATGGCCAAAGAAAAAAACACAAAATAGGGAAGGAAGAAAAGCCAAGAAGCTACAGAGGGGGCCAGAGTAAAATTGGGCAGGAGGAAAACTTGCTGCTGAAAATCACCAAAAGATTTGAGGGCCAGAAACTTTTGCCTTGCTACTTACCAAGCAACAAAAACGACGACGACCAAGCTGAAACTTTTTGAACTAACTAAGCGTTCCATTCCATTCTGTTCTGTTCTCCCCCGAATTTCCACCCAGTTGATGGTGAATATAAACAAAAATCAGCAACACAAACGCCATCGGGACATCTTTCGACGACCAGCGAGGTGGAAATCAGCTGCAAGCCCGGCTCAACATCCGGTGCCGGAATCGCCCAGGCCAACTCGGCGGACAGTGGTACCTATCAGAGCAGCAAGGTAAGTCTTCCTCACAAGTTTGCGACACCGAAAAGTTTTAATTACAGTCAAACTACCCTATGACGAACTCTGCCGCTGTCCATTGCCATGACAAATGCTTTGATTTCTTATTGCAAATTTCCAAAGAAAATCCTAATGTCATTGAAAACAATTTTGGCAGGATTACAAAGTCAACTTGTGATTACCAACTGCTTTTAGCTTGGCTATAAAGACTCCACATTTCGGTTCACTTTGGGGAAGGCTTCTTCCTTAAAGAGTTTCCCCAGTTTCTTTCCGCATTTCTAGTTCTTGGAAGTCCAAATTGGTTGGTTTCGAGAGTAATTGAATATTGTGTTGCTTGTAATTACCTTGACAAATGCTTTGATTTTATTTTACAAATTTTCTTGGAAACAACTCACTGCTTTTGAAAATAATTTATGTAGGCTACGAAATTAGACCATATTTATTTTCGTGGGAATATTTTAGGCAACAGAATGTGTTTCATAATACATAAGGCTGAATATCTTTAAAAAATAACAAGAAAGAAAAGAAGCAGACTGAGTTTAAAATAACCTCCTAGGGCAATTTGATAAGAACTTCAAGTTTCAAATGATTTGCTATTTAAAAATGGATAGTAAATATTTAAATTTAAAAGTAATTGCTTGTTCTATTACAATTAATTTAAATTTTAATATAATCCTTTAAATGTTCTCCCCTTTCTCCTTATCTGTCGCCAGGACGATGAGCTTCACTATGCAGAGCTGTCGCTTAATAATGCCTCCGCTGGATGCAGCACCTCGAAAAAAGGTCAGCCGGTGGGGGTGGGAGTGCCCCAGCAGCAGCAGCAGCAGCAGCAACACCCTCTGCAACATCAGCAGCAGCAGGGCCAGCAGATGCACCAGGGCCAGGCGGTGCAGCATCCACACCCCATGTTAGGCGGCACTCTGCCCCATGGGTCCAGCATGCGCAAGCTGCTGCCAAGCATCCCGGCAACGGCGACTCTGCAGCGCCACAAGCCGAATGCGGGCGGAATGCAGCATCCGCATCAGCACGCTCCGCCGCCCACGTACGACTACGATTACTTTGAGGAGCCGACGATATACGCGCAGATCGATGCGTACAAGACGATGCAGGTGGACACAGGTGCTGCCGGAGCCGGAGCTGGGGCCTGCATCTCCTCACCCGGCTCCCACGGCACTCCCTCGACAGTCTCGCCCGGGACTGTGCAGATGTACACGATGCCCCCGCATTCCGGTGGCTACCACACTCTGCCGCACAACCATCATGCACAGCAGGCGGGCGCCGGTGGAGGTCCCCAGAACTCCGCCTCGATGATGCAGATGCAGATGATGCAGCAGCAGCAACAGCAGCAGATGCATCACCATCCAGCGCCAGTTCCAGGTCCCGCCGGCAACATGCCCATGCCGCCCACATACCAGCAACACCAGCAAATGGCCCACGGCCAGATGTTGGTCTCGAGCAATAGCAGCGGCCTGGCCTCCACCACGGCGGCCGTGGCCAGTCCCAGCAGCTCCCTCTCCGGCCTGTCCGGTGTGGGTAAGTCCTATTCGCGTGAAATAGTCACCGTTCGCACCCCGCTCATGTACTCGCAGCAGGAGAGCTGTGTCTAAGGACCTCCGGGAGCAGAGCAGCGGGAGTCTGCAATCTTGCAATCTGAATTCCCGAAATCCAAGTAACCATGTCCCCTCCCCCACTTAGTCATGTAAGTCTTGAGCTCTTCGTGGTTGGTGTCTTAGGCTAAGTGTTGCCAAAACGATTTGAATTAAATGACAGAATTACAGAATTCAAGTGAATTGAAACGAATCTCGTGTGTGCTCGCGAAGGAACTGAATTTTCTGAAATAAAAGTGCAGAATCCATAGTACTTAATTCTTATAATTTTTTAAGGAGAGTTTTTTTAACCTAGTTCATTCTTTTATGATTTCAATGTTGAGCTTATTTACTGTGTGTCATGAACTTATTTTATCTAATACTTATTGCATGTCTATTCTTAGGAATTTGAGTCTTTTATTTTGTATATGAATATAATGATTACAATTTCTGGAAATTGCCAACTTCAATTAGTCAAATTTACACCAAAAACTCATATCAATATTAAAAAAAACTTTTAAAATAACTGAAATAGAAAGGTTAATATAGCGAATTATTCAAAATATTTCTTAAACTAGGAAGTTAATTAAATTCACAAATTTAACTTGATTTAGCAAGTGCAATAACTATTTTTATTTAAAGTTTCTTTATAATTTTACGTAGTGGCAATTTCTAACTTTATTCCCACGAGTAAATAGTATTATAATTTACAATGAGAATGCTTAAATTACTGCAGTTTGAATGTATATTTAAATAATAATTTCAAAAGATATAAAATAAACAACAGCAATTATTATAAATCAAAATCGTTAAATGCAAATACCAAAGCAGATAGTGATTTAGAAAGCATTATTTAAATGAGTTTAGTTAATCTGGCAGGAATGTGTAAATTGTTGACACTCAGCATTTAAATTGAAATATTTAACGTTACTTTTGAGCAAATACAGCGAGAAGAATGAAGAATGTTCCTTCCTTACAGTAAGTACTCAAGCAGGCAGACTGTCTGCGCATTATTTTTCCAAGAGATTACATCACACAGATCAATATGAATTACTTTCCGGGAATACCTTGTAAATGATTGTAAATGTCAGCTGGCAAAAGAGCAACAATTTCTAGCAATTAGGCTCAATAAACGCATAAGTGTAGCATTAATACGATATAAGTATATCCTTGATATAATAGACTTAAAGCTCACAACCACTCAACCGAGCGACGCGGAGGCGCAACTTCTTGGCAATTATATTGAAAATAAATTACATTACTCGGACTCTATGCAACATAATAATGATAATTAAATTAAACACTCACACTTAGACACACTGGCAAATTAGCTGCAATTAGCATAGCTTAAATGAATACTAAGTATTGATGTGTAAATAGTTGGATCGTAAATTTAATTTAGAGAAACCAAAAGCGAATCAAACAGAAGCGCAGCAAACTGCAATTAAAATCCAAGCTAAATGAATGTAAATTAGTTGCACAATCGATGCGAAAACTCCAAAAGACTATAAATAACGAAAGGAAAATACAGCAACAACCTATTGTTAGACAAAAAAAAATGAAGAAAAACCAAAAAAAGCAGGAGAAAGAAAAACGAATGGGGAAAATTGTTGTTTGTAAATTGCATTTATATATCAAATTGTATTTTTTTCTCTTCAATGTATAAATCAATGTTTGAACTGTGAAAAAGTATAAATATAACAAAATAAATGCACCTTGTATATTATTGTTACATTACGGAACGAAAAACCTAAGCAATTGAAAAGCTATACTTCTTGAAAAAATGTATAAAGCGAATGTTGAACTGTAATTGTAAAAGGCAAGGATATTGGCCAAGCTTGGCGAATGCAATTTCCATTTCTAGCTAGTTAAGACGGAAAGAACACAAACCAGCAGACACAGAAACAAAAAAGAAAATAATAAAATAATAATAAAACATGGACTAAGTGATTTCTCTTACATCAATTAGAATGGAATACCAGCAAATGTTTATATATAGGTCGGTCGTCATCAATGAACATATTTCAGCATGAAGTGTTCCAACAAATATGAATCTAAGCTAAGTGTAGCTAATTTAACATTTAAATGAGGCCATAAAAGATAATTGTAAAATATACTAAAGATCTAGTTTAAAGCATATACTCTACAAATGAATTATGAATGTATGTTACGATTAAGCACTCGAAACGATATGGAAATACCCTCCCCTGTCCCAATGAATACAAGGAATACAATACAGACATGAAACACTTGAAACAAACGGATGATCAGCAACAACTGAATGAACTCAAAACCAATAAATCCTAACAAAATTTAAATGAAAATCGAAATGATGTTTTCTTTGACACAGCTTTTTTTCAGATCTCGATTGTGACATATCTGCTTTAAGAGCGGCTTTATCGCTTCTTAGTCGACGATGAAGGCTCAAAAGAAGTCTTGATTCATTAGCGACAAGGCTTTCCATTCACTGATGCAATATAACAGCCATTTTAGCGCATATACAAATACACAAAGCGAAAAAAAGGGTATAGATAATTGTCTTATCGTGAAGTTTTCTATGTTTCTTGTAACTTTAAAGGAGGATTTTAATCACAAATCGACAGCTGCATTTCAACGTTTTCTCTGTGTAATAATACACCCTTCTAGACGGACATAAACTGACAATGCAATGGCGTCTTCTTGCAACAAAGGCCCCAAGGCCGAATACGAAGCAAGTAGCCTTTTCAAATTGTGCACTCAAATGGACACGGACGAGGACGAGGACGAGCGACAACATGGCGTATGAGTTATTTCTTGCATGTGTGTGTGTCTGAGCGGGGCACAAATATATCTTCCATTTGGCTTTCCTCATTTTATTTCATTCGCTTTTCTTTCCTTCTTTTTTTGGCTAACGTTTGCATGTGCAGCGAAGCGTAGATCTAAGAGAAATAAGACGACAGCAGGAGACGTCGCCTGGATTTGTGGCCTGGCAATGGCAATGGTCATGTTTGACAAGCTTCCCAGCGCTTTTCTGACTCTGCCTTCCCCAGCACATTTCTCCGGGGCTTCAAAGTATTTACGTTACTTTGTTTCGCTCGCTCCAAAATTAAAAGGCAAACACAAAGCCATTAGAAATGGTAAGGAAGAGAGAGAGACAGAGAGAAGCCGAAACTGTCAGACGGACAGCAAATGACGCTGCAGCCAAATATATAACCTCTCTGAGAGAAGCTACACTTCAAATAATTCTACAGAGGCTTTAGTACGCTGAAGTTTACCTAATCTTGGAGTTTGAAATTGGCGATTGGTAATTATTTAGGTATCTTAATCGCCACATGAAGAATAGGGTTTTCGACAAAACACAAAAGAAGTGATCATTGCAGAAGAAGGTTGAACTGAAGTGCTAAAAGAGCATCACTGTGATCTTCAGTCTTCACATTTGCAGTACAAGGCAAACAGAAGGCAGCAGCAGGTGGATTTACCCTAATGCAAACGCTTCGAAAGTCGAAAGCCAGAATTTAACATGTGTAAATAGTTTGAGCGGCGCAAAAGTAGGCAATAAAAATTATTTGGACACCTAAAAATGTTGAATGGCGACACTAAGCGGAAATGTCAATACGTAGCATACTTTTGCGATACAGTTAGACCGGAAGCATGAATTGATTGGCTTAAACACACTGAAGAAGTCATTTCCGACCCCATAAATTGTATATATTATAGATCAGAATTAACAGCTAAGCCTTTCTGGGGAAAAAAAATATTTTTCAAAATTTTATAAGGGGTTACACGTTCAAATTTTCAAAAATTGTTAAAAAATTAAAGTGTCATAAATTGTAAATTAAATATGCAGATTTATTTACCTAAACTTTCAACTTTGATATGTCGAAAAATTGTCCTATAAAAATACCAATTCATAAAATTTGAATATTTAAGGCTGTTATGATTAGCATCCGATTTATCCTATAATTAAATGGCAAACGCTGAGGGCATATAAACTATGGCTTCATTAAAAAATCATAAAATGTAAAAGAGTGAAGTTCTAATTTTGCTTCAGCTAGTTTGCCAATCGTTATGTCAACTATGCGATATAATCCTCTAAACTGGCCCATTTCGTTCTATATACTAAAAAAGAGAACTATCTGTAAAATTTCCTTAAGGGACAAATTAGCGTAAACGGATGGTGTAAAACTAGTTTCCGAATTTTCGTATCACCTTTATGAAACAATTGCTTTTTCTATAATTATATTGAAAACTTAAATGATTAGTAGTGTATTTTGTGTATTCTTTATTTTCGTTTTACAAATTTAAAGCAAACAGAAATATAGAAATTTGTTCAAGTGCAGCTGACAACAAAGTTGACCACTGCTTCATATATCATTTTGAAGTTGCAGTTTTGTGCCCAGTTACACTCTTTCTGATACACAATTTCTTCTGTTCTCCGTCTCGGTGAGAAATTAAAAACTGTGACGTCTCCGCTCAATAAAGTATATTTCTGTCATGTGTCTGCTTCATGCTCAATCGTCATTAAACTTTAAAAACAGAAACGGCTAATAGCTTGCATTGAGAAGACGAATTTAAAAATATATAAGATATATTCTCCATAAACTCGTACATATTTATATGCGTCATCGATCCACTCTCGCCGGGATATGGCAGGGACTTCAATCAGGCTCCCTCGATGACTGGCTATCACTTGAACAACCCTTCAGCTGGTTACTCTCCTGCGCTTTTGTACCCATCATCCATTGTTATCTGCTGGCCATTTGTTATGCGCCAACCCAGCAACAAACACCGTTCGATGGCAACCAGGTCAGCTTATCCTGGCCAAAGGATAGGGTAGGCAGCTCGGAGAGCCGGGAGTGCCGGGGGCAGGATGAGATTTGTTGGACGCCCATTCATCAGAATCGGGACGCATAATGCAGGCATATTTATAACATTTGACAGAGCATCCACAAAGCAAACGAAACGCAGAGAGGCGACCCTTAATCCCACTCACAGGCCCGCACTCCCGAGCACTATTTATAATTATTGCACTCGAGGATTGCGGCCCGGGGCACATGTGAACGGCATATCGGCAATGCGAGTGCAGGCAAAACAATCTCATTACCATTACTTTTTAGATCCTTCAAACTTTCAATCAATTTCCCTAGCAATATCCGTCGGGGAAGTCGGCACAACTTGGGGACCTACAGAAAGTCTCAAGCACCAGCTCCTTCGCTTCAAACTCGAAGCCATTGTTGCAGCCTCTATGCACCCATTAAATTGTGAATTGAAAGTTGTATTCACTATGGATATGGTATGATATATATGATAAATATTTGTATCAGTAAGTTTAACCAGTCTCATACCTACATTTTGAATTCAATTTAATTATATATGTATATATCCATGAAAATAATTAATCCGAAACTAAAGGGTCCCACCTTAACATTTACAATTCATAGAACTAACATTAGTTGCCTCTCTTGAGATACAATAATTGCATTGTAATATTTAAATA